ACACGATGACAGGACGGCTTTTTGCAGAGCAAATTATGCCAATTTTCATGCATTTTGATTTATCGTCTCATGTTTAATGCATTATTTTTAAAGAAAGTACTTTGACTCAAATCGAAACAAAAATGCGACAAGATTTTGCTATAATAATTAATTTTATGTAATGGATCACTTTCACTCGGCATTGTTTAAAAATTAATCGAGCAATTCTTTTTTTTTTGAGTCTGCATTTCCGAACTCGGTTAAATCCATTTAAAGATTCAATAAATTACATTGTGTAATATTTTTGTTAGCTAATTTAACTCACTAGATTACGATTAGGTACAAGGTTTCCAACAGTAATTCAGGAAATATCAATATAAATGTACCTAATTCAACTAATTCAGAACAGTCAAATGCATTAAATATAATTAATCCAGATTTAACTTTTCAGATTATTTTATCAAAAACTATACAGAATGAATCACTACTTATAATTCAAAAAACAGCAATTGTATTTCAGAGACTGTAAAATGTAATTCAAACAGTAATAAATGTTATTCAGAATTTATTAATAATATAATTCAGAATTCTAGAATTCATCAAAATGTTAAAAAAAAATTAATAAAATAAATACATAATCGACATTTGGTGCATTCTAAATTCAAGAGTAATCAGGATTTCATTTACCTTTAAACAACTGTAAAGTTTTGTTATCATAATAGCTACTTATCTAACAAGGTCGGAAATTAATTTTTCCGCACGAGTCTGCAGTTCACCGAACGACGCCTAGCGGAAGTTCGGTGAAGCAGCCGGGTGCGAAAAAATATTTCCTGCAAGTGTTACTTTACCAGGATATAAGCATGGAAAAATCAATTTTACCGCAACATTATATCAGTGTAGAAAATTGGGTTTTCCGCACGGCTGTAGAGATAACTTTTTTCTGTGTATTTTGTTAATATCGTTCTTTAATGTTTTATTATTCCAGGCTCTTGATTGACCAAAATTAGGAATAAGAAGCCCACTCAAACGCCGAGAATAATGAAAATTCGAGTCACAATTTTTTTTATCCTACTTTATCTTTGTTCCTTTCTTACTGATTAAATTTCTTACTTCATTATTCAATATTTTTATTATTCCAGGCTCTTGATCGGAAGTTTACTCAAGCGCCAAGAATACCTACACCAAAATTATATTATCCTACTTTATTTGTATCCCTCTCTCCTCTCTTACTTATGGAGTTTTTTTTATATCTATCAATTGTCAGTTACTCTATTATTCCTGGCGCTCGAGTAGGCTCTGTCCAATCAATCGGAAGCCTGGAATAATAAAATAAAAAACAATGATGTTAGAAATTCAATGAGTAAGAAAAGGACACAGATAAAGTAGGTTACAAAAATTTTGAGTCACAAAATCAACAATATACTGAAATTCAATGAGAAAGAAAATGATACATTTAGATTTTTGATAACTTTTGAAAGTTCATAACTTTTTTTCTATTATAAAGGTCTGTTTCTGCAAAAATCACAAACCAGTCAAACTGAATTTCATTGGTTGAAACTTGTTTTCTGACTGTTCTCAACCAATGAAATTCGCTCTGACTGGTTTGTGATTTCTGCAGAAACAGACCTATAGATAGAAAGCTGAAATTTTCAGAGATTCTTATTTCAGTAGAGGACTACAATCCCTTTCAGCTCATGTGGACATAGTTTCAGAAATAAAATCGTGTTAAGCAATTAGGGTAAATTATCAATTTTTCAATTTTTCGGAGTGCCTTTTTTCATTAATTTTGGCATCAAATTTCAGAATAATGTAGTGTATGGAGTTAGGGGGTTCCTCAATGATCATTTAGACACCAAATTTCAACATGAAAAAAGGACCCTGCCCACAGTATACGGAAATTGTGTTTATGTCAGAATTGGCTGAATTTTATATGTAATGTAGATCACACCTTCTTGATTAAAAGTTACCATTGCACCAATCCTGAAAAAGAATTCCTTTTTGAGAATATAAATTGAACGTACATACATATAAGTGGATTATTGCGGAACTTAGCGAGTTCCGCAGCCATCTACTCAACAATATACTGTTGAACTGTCCAAATAAGACACTTACCTGAAACGTGTAGTTTTTGAACTAATGAGAATAATTCACAACTGAGTAAATCATGTTAGTATTGTACTTGAATAACAATATATTATTAGTTTGGTAAAGTAACATTACTAATTCCTGTTAAAAGGTAAATTGACAAAAAGTGGATAATTTTACAAATTCTGATTTTATGTAATAAGTTATTGTTCAAGTACAAATAAGTGGATTGTTGCGGAATTTATGGGTGGACCTCTGCGGGACGAGCGCAGCGAGTTCCGCAGCCATCTAACCACCAATATACTGTTGAACTGTTCAAGTAAGACGTTCACCTAAAACGTGTAATTTTTAAACTAATGAGAATAACGCACATTTGAGTGAGCCAGTTAAGTATCGTAATTAAACAACATATTGATGAATAGATGGCTGCGGAACTCGCTGCGCTCGTCCCGCAGAGGTCCACCCATAAGTTCCGCAACAATTCATTCATTTGTACTTGAATAACTTGTTACATTATGTTACTACTTTGGTAAAGTAACATTACTAATTCCTGTTGAAAGGCAAATTGACAAAAAATGAATAATCATAATCTTACAAATTTTGACTTTATATAAGTTATTGTTCAAGTACAAATAAGTAGATTATTGCATAACTTATGGGTGGACCTCTGCGGGACGAGCGCAGTGAGTTCCGCAGCCATCTACTCATCAATATATCGTTGAACTAACTGTTCAAGTAAGACATTCACCAGAAAAGTGTAGTTTTTAAACTAATGAGAATAACTCACATTTGAGTTTGAGTGAGTCAGATTAGTATCGTACTTGAACAACATATTAATGAATAGATGGCTAGGTCCACCCATAAGTTCCGCACCAATCCACTCGTTTGTACTTGAATAACTTGTCATAATATATCACTAGTTTGGTAAAGTACCTAACAATACTAATTCCAGCCATTTACTCACCAATATACTGTTGAACTATTCAAATAAGACACTCACCTGAAACTTGTAGTTTTTGAACTGATTAGAATAACGTACTTCGTACTTGAACAACGTATTAATGAATAGATGACTGTCCGAATTTGTAAGATTATCCACTTCAATTCGCCCTTCAACAGAAATTAGTAATGTTACTTTACCAAACTAGTAACATAATGTGATAAGTTATTCAAGTACAAACGAGTGGATTGTTGCGGAACTTATAAGTGGACTTCTGCGGGACGAGCGCAGCGAGTTCCGCAGTTATCTGTTCATTAATACGTTGTTCAAGTACGATACTAACCTGACTCACTCAAATGTCCGCTATTCTTATTAGTTCAAAAACTACACGTTTCAGATGAGTGTTTTATTTGAATTGTTCAACAGCATATTGGTGAGTAGATGGCTGCGGAACTCGCTACGCTCGTTCCGCAGAGGTCCACCCTTATTCCGCAACAATCCACTCCTTCGTACTTGAATAACTTGTCACATTATGTTACTATTTTGGTAAAGTGACATTACTAATTTCTGTTGAAAAGCAAATTGACAAAAAGTGGATAATCTTACAAACTCTGACTTTATATAATAAGTTATTGTTCAAGTACATACAACCTACAATGTAACGCTTGTGGAGCAGTGGTGTGCTACGTATAATAATTTTTCAGGATTAATGCAATGGTAACTTTTAATCAGAAAGGCGTGATCTACATTACATACCAAATTCAGCCAATTCTGACATAAACACAATTTGGGGTGAATAATCAATTTTTCTAAGTGCACTTTTTCCTAGATTTCAGCTCCAAATTTCAGAATAATGTAGTGTATGGAGTTAGGGGGTTCCTCAAGGATCATTTGGACACCAAATTTCAATTTAATTTTTTTTGAAATTTCATCATTTTAGTACCAATGATGTGGATTTTTAAAAAATTATAACTTTTTTTCTATTAGAGATAGAAATCTGAAATTTTCAGCGATTCTTACCCCAGTAGAGGACTACAATCCCTGAAAATTTCAACTTATTTGGATTTATATTACCAAATACACTCCGTCTAAGAATCCCCGACCCATCCTTGAAATAATTTTCAATCCGCTTATGGCCGAGTAGTACCTACATTACGAATAAAAAATCGTAATCGATCCATCATAATCTTAAATTATGCATGGTAGGTACCACGCACAACATTGACAAATAAGCGTGTAGAATTTGATTATATACACAGAGAGACCCTAAATTTTTCTATGATGCAACCTACTTAATTTGTTAATTGGATTATGTTAATTGAAAATGATGAATAGCCTTGTTCCCGATGACTTTTGAAATTTTAGGATAAAAATAACCCAAGCGAATAATACGATTTTATTAGCCTTACTAATTCAGGATTTTTTTTTTGGGCAACCCAGTCTTTTGTCACCATAATATATCTTTCGTCTTATCTTTCCAATGGAATCTTTGCACACGATTGATTTTTCTTTTTATTGTTTTCTGAATTAATTATGCTCGAATTGGAAAGTAAAGTTCCACAGCCACCCTTTCAAAGATAATCATCAAATAAAATCCTAATCTAAATTATAAATCTCAATATAATGCGTTATAAAGTCAGAGAATACGCAGCCAACATTTCACAACTTTCACTATGTTTCAGATGCCGGATAATGTTAGTATTAAAAAGGGTGTGCCACCTTTGCCTATTGTATAAAATAATTTACTTATTAAATAATAAGGTTTTTCACCTTTGACACATACGAATATATGAATTCAAACAATAGTTTTTTAACTCTTTTTATTCACATCATCAAAATTCAAATGACGACTTTGGGTCATGGGAGACTGGGCACATATCACTGACGCCCATAACAACAACGATCTAAATCGTAGGTATATGAAATTGAAAAGTGTAATTTGTATTTTTAATTGCAATTTCCCAATATATTCTCAAATTATTTTAATTTGTTCCAGGCTGAACGTCTAGCAGATTATGGTAGACTACTGGGTGGGTCTCAGCCAGCTTTAGACGGACGTCAAAGAGATTTGGACAGAATCCAGGACTTATTTCCTCACGACTATCTCTGGCTGCACATATCCGAACCGAATTCCACTTATACAATGGTATGTAATGTAGGAACAATAAACAATTATCAAATCGATTAGGTATAAATAAAGTGCGAAGATCGCATCGTTTAGAGCTGAAAGGGAGCGGACGATGTATAGGAACGGATCGCGTCTTCTTATTGCATTTACATAAACCATGTGAAGACATTCCTCGAACGTTTGTCAGTAGTTAGAGATTAATAGGCGCGATTAGCTGATTTATTTATCGTAACTTTTTACTGTTTTTACATTGAGAGCCTTTTAACGGGAATCGATATTATGCTAACTCTGAGAGGACCCACACCATTTAAGAATTTTTTGGGCTTTTAAAGTGATTTCATCGTTTTAGTACTGGAGGTAGCTACCTTATGATTTGGATTTTGGAACACTTTGGAAGGTCATAACTATTTTTCTATTGAAGATATAAAGCTGAAATTTTCAGCGATGATTCTTATTCCAGTAGAGGACCACAATCCCTGACTCATTTGGACGTATAGTTCCTGAAATAAATCGTGTTGAGCAATTCGGGATGATTTATCAATTTTTCTGAGTGCCTTTTTTCATAGATTTCGGCTTAAAATCTGAGAATAATTTAGTGTATGGAGTTTGAGAGATGTTAATTGACCATTAGGGCACAAAATCTCGACAAAAAAAAAATTGAAATTTTATCGTTTTAGTAAGAAGGTACCTACCTTATGATTTAGATTTTGGAAAACTTTGAAAGGTCATTACTTTTTTTCTATTATAGATAGAAAGCTGAAACTTTTACTGAATTTTATCCCAATCAAGGGACTACAATCCCTGAAAATTTCAGCTCATTCGCACTTATAGTTCCTGAGATAAAATCGTGTTAAGCAATTTGGGGTGATTTATCAATTTTTCAGTTTTTCCGAGTGCCTTTTTTCATAGAATCTGGCTTCAAATCTCAGAATAATTTACCTACTGTATGGAGTTTGGGGGATCCCAAAGGACCATTAGGACACAAAATCTCAACAGAGATTTTTCTGAAATCTCATCGTTTTAGTGAGAAGGTACAGGGTGAGTCACCATATTTTGACACCCACCTGCAGCCGTAATTACAGGTGATAGGTGAACGGTGTAAATACAAAAGTTGTAGTATTTCATCTGAACCGCCAGAATTTTCAATTAGATTGTACAAATTTGCAACAAAAAGTGGAAAAATATGTCAATGTTCACTTTTTTCAAATGGAATGTCCTTTATTTTCTTTTAAATTCTTAAAGTTCTCGTTTTTCTGATTCAGATTATATAATATGTTAGTGTTTCTTTCGATAGTTTTGGAAATATCTGGAGTTTAGTTATTCAAAGAGAATAGTTTTTTGAATAAATTTTACCTTGATTTACCTGTAACCTGTCGCAAAATATTGTAATACGTGAATAGATCTTTAAATAACTAAACTTCAGATATTTCTAAAATTATTGAAAGAAACATCAACATACAGTGACGGCTCGTCAGAGGAGGCAGGGGAGGCTAAACCTACCCCAAAAAATTGAAAATTCAATCTCAATTTTATATTCCTGATTTCTAATTAAAATAATAATTAACAAATTACACTTTCCAGTTTTCGATATTTCGATGTAATTTAGAAAAGTCTGACAACATTATTTTAATCAATCCCGCGCCTCCACGACAAATATCTGTGAATCTGGGATACTCAGTAATACCGGCCCGAAGGGCCGGAGTTATATGTGGGCCCGAAGGGCCGGAGTTATATGCGAGCCCGGAGGGCCGGAGTTATATGCGAGCCCGAAGGGCCGGAGTAACACGAGCCTGAAGGGCTAGAGTTATTTTAATCACGGGGCCTAGTTTATAATTCTTTTGGTCAGCGGATAATTTAGAGCTAATTAAAAACCGGGAGTATTAAAAATGCGATTTTTAGGGTCCGATCAAAGAGTCGGAAATATTCAAAAACTTTACTTTTATCAAATTGGCTTTGGAATGTTGGTTTTCTTAAGATTTTTACTTTTTTCAGAAAACGGTGGTTTTTGCAAACATATACTACCTTATCATTGTCTTTGTCTTACTCACTATAATCAATAAGGAAACCTTGTAATGTCATTTTCATTGAAATTAAACTAAAAACATGATTTATTTGGGGAATTTTAATTATTATAATCATTATTAATTAATTATTAAATTGAATTTTAAACCCTTTTAAAATGTTATTTTTGTTTTCCGAAATGAAATGCGGCAACGTTGCTTTTAGTTGGCCATTTTAAAGTGACGCCTTGTAACTTTTTGCCAGTTTTTCCTCGAATTTTTCACTTTTCCGGGGTTTTCAATGGAAAAAAGCAATTTAACATACGAGGCTTTAAGTTTTCTTCATTTTCTAGCAAAAATGTCCAGTTTTAAAATGACATAATTAACAAAATCTCATTTAAAATGGTTTTTTTGAAAGTTTTGATGTGGCAACACCGTTTGTACCAACTTCAAATAAAGTCTATTTTTTTTTTAAAGATAATTCCCCAAGTCAAAAATTTAGTAACTATGTTGGCAACACAAGCCTTTTCTACATGAAAAATTTGGAAGCATTGACAATTTTACATTGTTTTGCCAACATAATGTCATTTTGACTTTTATTTTTAAAAAAAACAGCCATTAGGTTTTGTAATAAATGTCATTTGCCAGTTTTGACAGTCGGCAATTTTTAATTGACGTGTTTACATTTCTATCCAGTTTTTCCTCGAATTTTCCGCTTTTCTAAGCCGTTTTCAGTCAAGAAAACCGATTTGAAATACGAGGCTTTGAATTTCCTACATTTTGTGCCAAAAATTCCCAGTTTTTCAATGGGGTAAGTGACAAAAACTCAAATTTCATTAAGTAGGCTTTGGAATGTCATGTTTAGAGGTTTTTCTTCGAATTTGTCCGCTTTTCCAGGGCTTTTCTGGTCGGAAAAACCGATTTAGAGTACGAGGCTTTGAGTTTTCTTCATTTTCCACCAAAAATTTCCAGTGTTTTAACGGGGTAAGTGAGAAAAACTTTAGTTTTATCAAGTAGGTTTTGGAATGTCATTTTCGTTGGTTTTTTTTTTTGGAATTTTTATTTAAGGTTTTTGGGGTCCGGGGATCGTTTTCTATCACTTTTTTTCTCGAAATTCGCAAAATAAAAAAAAAACTTTTTTGACGTTGAGAGCTGTCAATTTTTTTTGACACAAATCGATAGTTAGCGTCGCGAAATTGCCTTGTACCGGAGTTTGATTTTTGTAACTTTTATAGCAGAGCGGGGAAAAAGTCGAACATGTGTCAAATTTGACAGGTGACATTTGTCGATATTGCCAAAGTATCGTGCGACAAAAGTTTTATCCGAACGAACCCGTTCATTGTTAACTGATTTTTCATACTCCGGCCCTTCGGGCCGTAATCTTTGAAACAAAAAGACGTCATTTTGGATCGATTTTCAAAAAAACCCAAGGTTTGAAATTTCAATTTTTTGACGTTTGTTGTATCATGAGCAGTGTTGCCATATGTTTTTCTTTCAAATCTCGAGCTCGAAGGGCCGAGATTATAGATTATTTTAAAGCCAATCAAGAGCCGGGAATAAACAAAATTCGAATCCCCAAACCAATCAGGAGCCGGGAAAATTCAAAAATTCGAATTCCAAACCCGACGGCAAATTGAATTTTTTGTACCAAATGGGTTGTTTTGGAAAAAACAAAAGATTTTTTTTTTCGAGATTGACAGCTGTCAAAATTTTAATGGGCATATAGATTTAGCCTCGGCGAATACGTAGGAAGTACCACAACATATGTCAAAAAAGACGTTCGGCGTTGCCAGGCGGTTGGTTTTTGACATATATCGATAAAACTTCTTATTTTAGGGTTTTCGGAGCCTGGGGATCGTTTTCTGACATTTGTTTTTCGAAAACAAGAAAAGGTAAAATTTTTTGACATTGACAGTTGTCAAAATCAAAAAAAAAAAACCACATGGGTATATAGATTTAGCCTCGGCGAATACGTAAAAAGTAGCCAAACAGGGCCAATTTTTTGACGTTTGTTATATTATAAGCAGTGTTGCCATATGTTTTTTTTTCGAATCTTGATTCTGGAAGGCTGAAGTTATTTCAATTATGAGCTCAAAGGGCCGAGGTTATACAAGTCCGAAGGGCCGGAATCATGCGAACCCAAAGGGCCGGAGTTATACGAGCCCGATAGGCCAGAGTTATTTTAATCGTGAGCCCGAAGGTCCGAGGTTATACGAGCCCGAAGGGCCGGAATTATACGAACCCGTTCATTGTCAACTGATTTTAATACTTCGGCTCCTCGGATCGTAATCTTTGAAACAAAAAGACGCCATTTTATATCGACTGTCAAAAAAAACCAAGGTCTACTTTGATATTTCAATTTTTTGACGTTTGTTGTATCATGAGCAGCATTGCCATATGTTTTTAACAAATCTCGATTTATAGGTTATTTTAAACCCAATCATTGACATTTCTGAAAAATATTTTCTTTAAAATTCCCAAATATCCTTTGGAATCCCCAAAAATCTATTAAAATCTCAGAATTCCATAATTTAGTGGAATTTCGGTAGAATAATTATGTTATTCTGAAAAAGGAATAAGATGTGAAATTTTTGCGAAGTTTCCATAGAATTCATATTAAATTTTAATTCCTCTCGAATTACACGAAATCCTAAATGAATTACATGGAGGAATTTTAAACAATTACATGAAATAACATCGAAATTCCCAACATGAAATTTCAGTTTTTAGTGAATTTTAGTAATGTTGAGGAATTTCCAACTAAAAACATGGAATTTCGGTGATATTCCGAAAAATTACCATGTAATAAGATGAAATTTCAATATATTTCGATGAATTTTTAAGAAATTACTTGAAACTTCATTAATATTCCCAGAAATTCTTGGCTATTAAAAAAGAATTTCAGTGAAATTCCGAAAAATTCTTATGAAAATAAATTAAATTTTGAAAATTCCTTAAAGTTTCATTGGCTTTTTGAGAAATTTTCGGTTATGAACGTGGATATTCTCATAAAATTTTAGTGAATTCCGAGAAATTTTTAAGAAATTACATGAAATGTCAATGAAATTCTAAAGAATTTCATGAAAATTTTGTGGAATTCCAGGATATTTCAGTGGTAAAATTTTGAGGAATTTTAGTAAAGTTAAAAAAAAAAAAAAAAATGGAATTTTGAAATTGAATTCCGAGGAATTTCATGAAATCCTATACTGTAATTAGCCTCCTCACTTGAAATAGTCACGAGCCGCCACTGTCAACATATATAATCTGAATCAGAAAAACGAGAACTTTAAGAATTTGAAAGAAAATAAAATGCATTCCATTTAAAAAAACATTGACATATTTTTCCACTTTATCTTGCTCATTTGTCATTTGTTCCATCTAATTAAAAATTCTGGCGGTTCAGATAAAAAGCTACAACTTTTGTATTTACACTTTTTACCTATCACCTGTAATTACGGCTGCAAATGGGTGTCAAAACATAGTAACTCACCCTGTACCTAGCTCTACCTTATAATTTAGATTTTGAAAAATTCTGAAAGTTCATAATTTTTTTGTGTTGGGAATTTAGAGGAATTTGTAGGGACTTAGAGGAATTTATGGGGAATTTGGAGGAATTTGCGAGCAGTTTGAGGAATTGTTAGCCCAAACTCGGAAAGGTAGTATACCCCTTGAGAATTTCCTATTGCTAGAAACATTATTCATCAGGTTGTTGACACAAACGCACAAACACAGTGTCGATTACATAACCACTCATCCTATAATTTTAACGACTAATAATTTTTCTTCAGTCCGATAAGTGACTATAATAATATAACGTCCGGCCATCATTTTATTTGAATTTTTCTTGAGCGGAGGTTTCAAAATTGTTTTTATGGGCCTTTTATAATAACACATTTTTAAATTGCTTAATAGCTTATAGAGTGGATCTAGCGGTATTATAGAGATAAAGTTTTATATTGTAGGTATTTAGAGAAGAATTTTAAAATTGGTTCCCTTTCATCTCATCTAAAAAGGGCTTTGAATATTAATTCAGACAATCAATAAACAATAAACGATCCTATGTATAATGGATTCGATTCAAATGCAAATCGACCTTCTATAAAATCATTAATTTATTTCAAATCTATTAAATAATTATTGAATTAACATTCCCGCACCAAACCCTATTGAGATCCTCACTTGTCTAACTTAATTTTTTTTTTTTTCAGAAAAACAAATCCTTCAGGAAAAAATCCTTGGGCGATTTGACAACGATGGATAGCATCAACAATCGTTCTAGAATATTCCTAATGGAAGCTCCTTGTGCAATGTCTCCAGCTGCCACTCCAATGACCGCAAAGCCCAGACACTTATTCCTATTCTCGGACTTGTTCCTGCTGGCCAAACCACGATCCGGAGGCAACTTCAAACTAAAAGAAAGCGTGCGAGTGTCGGAAATGTGGATAGCAAGATGCGCCGAATCGGAAACAGGTTTTTTGATTGGCTGGCCGTCGCCGGCCAGAACGTACCTGGTCAGTTTTTGTACGCAGGCTGCGCGAGATTCGTGGTGGAAAGAGCTGCGCAGAGCGCTGGCTGCACAGCTCAGATTAGAACCACCAGTTACCAACATTAAAGTAATCTACAGAGACCAAGTTAGCGGTACAGAGTGTTCGAAAACTTTAGGTGTCGGCCCTGAGACTACCTCAGCCGAAGTGGCCAGGTTGGCTCTAGACGAATCAAGAACGTGTGAGATGTCTTATACGTTATATTCCAGAGATAGAGATAACGGTCCGTGTCCTTTGATTGGTTGCGAGAGGCCGCACTCGATTCAGTTGGCTAGATTGAGGCAATCGCTATGCACTGAAGAAGGGTTTGATTTGACTCATTGCAATAAGAGCCGAATACCGTGCGATGTGGTGTTTGAGTTAAGGCCGACAATTACCAAACCGAGCCCCAGAAAAACTCCATTGAAATTATTTAGAAAATCAAGTGCGGGGAGAATATTTGGTATTTCTCTTGCGCGGCTTTGTCCCAACAACACTCTACCTCCAGTTATTTTGACTTGTTTACGAAACTTGTTTCAAAAAGGACCTCAAACGCAAGGTATATTCAGACGATGTGCTTCCGCAAGAGCATTGCGTGAACTCAAGGAAAAAGTCGATGCACAAGGAGCCGCAGTTTGCGACGAAATCTCAAACACGCCTGCTCTACTACTTGGAGCGCTTTTGAAGGATTTTCTAAGGAGCCTTCCGGAGCCTCTTTTAAGCGGCAACGTTCAAGAGTGGTTGACTGCGTCTACAAGCGGACGCTTGGATCTTCTGAGGAAATTGCTCAGCAATCTACCAAGGGAGAATCATATGCTGCTCAGATATGTTACGTGTGTTTTATATAATATCGCCAAGAAGTCTAGATTTAATTTGATGTCTGCAGCAAATTTAGGTAAGAATAAAGACTAATTTATCTATTGAATTAATACAAAATTAATCAGCGATTCTATTATTGATGATACTAGTTTAATCTGTTACTGTTACTACCTACTAGACACCTAGGCTTCAATAATGGGACCAGTTACAATACTACTTTATACTAAAGATATTATCATCTATTGGGACATATTTAAGATTTGTTATGCTTTGTACCTACATTAAAGTTTTAAACACACTGTTTTATCAATTTTCCAATTTTAAACCAGCTGTACTTATTACAATAAATGTTAGAATTCATACAAAAATCTTCATGACAAAAATTACCCGCTAAATCCAAAAAACCTATGTCAATAGAGAAAATTTGTAGTTTTTGGGGCAACTTCCCTAAATTCTTGATTTATATTTCTACAAACATTTCTTGCCATAGTTATTTTTATATGGGAGGTTGCAGACTATTAAATTCGTTCTAAAACAATTATTTGATAGCAGTATATTATGTCATCTTTTCGAACATCAGTGTCGTTAAGTCCTGCTATTAAAACAACATAGTCCTTATATCAGTCAAATTCTTCACATAATAGTGTGAATTATGTATAATTTCCCTTATTATAGTATAAGGTTTTGTTACCAGCTGAGTTACATAGTTGTCCCCCATTGATTTGTCTATCTTTCTAAATTCATCAATTGAAATAACAATTTTATTCTTAGAATTTTCAACCTTTCTTAATTTAACAATCAACGGCTATGTCAGCAATATTACCTTAGAATATTACCATCTGATTGACTTTTTTGATCATCTTTTTTCGAAACTTTACACTGCTTAAACTGGAATAATTCTTTATTGATCTTTTTATTCTCACTGGCATATACAGCATTATCATTTTCAAGTGTACTAATTGTTGTAAGCATTTGATTTCTCATTGACTTCAAATCATCTAGCCTTTTTACCAGTTTCTCACGTCTATGATCTTCCTCCAATAATATCTGCTGCAAATTCTCCTTCCTCTGTATCAGTTCATCAATACGCTGGTGTCAGATTTACTAGATAGCCTAATCTTTTGGATTATTTTATCCAAATTTTTATCTTTTACTAGAACTTCTTCATATTTCTTTTAATGCATAGTAATATTGTCACAACTGCCCGCTTTACGGAAGTGACATGGGCATGGGGGGTTTGTAGCTTTGGGGGTTGATGGAGAGAAACTCGCTCAAGTTATATAAAAGTATAGATATATATTTTCCAAATATGCCCTTACATATACGCTAGTCCTATAAGATGCATGACCCTTCAAACACTGTGGTCCTCTTAGGGAGCCACACATCAACGCTGCTTGGGGGACTGTCTTATGCCTTGTCCAAAGGGGCTTTCCCAACGAGAGGTAATTGCGCTGAACAACGATAAGGCTGAAGATACCCAGCCCAGAGGGGCTTTCCCAACGAGGGGTACTTGCACTGGGGAGACTTAATTCCAGAGGGGCTTTCCCAACGAGAGGAAGTTACAGTGGTTTAAGTCTCCCTGTTGCTTGACTTGGCCAACTATTTATATCAATTTATTGCTGAATTGCAATAATCATCCAATCGAATCGGCAATTAAATTAATAAGGTATTGAATACCGGGTCCTCCTTTCTTAAGCAGCTAGTTGACAATATTGTTCTTTGTGCGACCAATTTCTCTTTCCAAAGTTCTAATAATTGTTTCTTGTCCCTTGATTTTTTCTTCCAGTGAATTTTCTGCAGAAAAAACATCGTCCTGCTTAAAGTCTATAGTTTTTCTTCTCTCTCGTTGAAGTATATTATCTTTCGGCTCAAAGCTGGGCAGAAAACCGTTAATCCGTTATCCGTTAATTAACGAAGTTGAAAAAATTGCTTAAATTTAACTTTTAAGTTAACCTAAACAATATTAACGGTTTTCTTAACTTACATTGGACTTCCGTTAACTTTAGTCCGTTACGTTCGTGAATGACGTCATTTTGTTTGCTTGAATTGCGCGTCAATGTTAATTGGGACAGTTCGCACAGGCGTAGAAAGATGTCAGTTCGCTACACTAGGCAGTTTAGAACTGTTCTGGAATGACTCCAAACCCGATTCCGTACAGTGAGATCGATGCGCAAGCCCTTAGTTCTGAAGTCAGGTAGGCTGTGAGCTGAGGCGTATCGTTAGGCTGTGGCGTTGTCTGCATTGTTCTATAAGCTCCTTTTTCTTGCAGAGGTGAATGGTAAATAAATCAGCTACCTAAATTGGAAATAGTGCCGGTTTTTAGATCCAGATACTTTTTGTTTTATTTACATTCACCTGTGTAGGAGTGTAGGTATAGTATTTTTAATACCCATTTGGAATAACACCATCCTTGTTCATCAATCATGAATCAGATGAAACAAAAAATTACCAACCAATCACAAATCACTAAAACGACGGCACATCCAAATAGGTATTAAAAATACTATACCTTAGCCCCGCCTATTCTATTTCAATTATCTATTACTTATAATTAGCTTCAAACATCCAGTATAACTTTTTGATGATTAACTCTTAACGGATAACTTTAACTTGCGTTATATTCTCAAAAATTTAACGAGTAACAATTAGCGAAGTTAACTTTTCAAGTAGCGAATTAACGATTAACGAAGTTAACTTTTCGATTAACCGTGCCCAACTTTGTCTTTCGCAATATTAACTTTGTTTAATTCATGTAAACTGCGTTTTTAGTTTTGCGACAGAATCTTCATATTCACTTTCCAAAAGCTCTATTACTTACTTCATTTAGGACCAAATTATGGACTGACTGGTAAACGTCTGGTTGTTTCCTAGCAGGTACGTTCTATGCTCAAGATAATAAAAAGTACCTGCTAGATAACAACCAGACACTTACTAATAGTTAGTCCATAATTTGGCCCTTAGCCTTTTATTTTCCCTAAATAACTTCTCCAATTTTGCTTTATCAACACATATTTCTAAAATCATCTTTACAAGATTCACAGTAAAACAATAATAGTACATTATACTGGGTGAGTTACTAAGCGCGCGCGTTTGTCCATATGTCCTATACTAACGGAGATTGGAGAAAAAACTAAATACAAAACTTGTAGATAAACATGAGTACTATATTCCTAAATTATTTTCCAGTATACAGGGTGGCCCAATAACTAGTAGTGACACAAAGTTATGTTTTTTCAAATGCCTTGCACTGTATATTATGACATTTCTACATTCTGCGGAAAATTCTAGACATATTTCATGGATAATGTCATATACCTACCTATCTTCAACTGTTTCGGAAATATTGACAGTTGAAAATTGACTTTTTTGCATCTTTGATTTGACAGACTATGAAACCTTAACGGGTAATTTTAGAGGAAAACGGATTTTACATTCCTATCTTAGATTTTCATAAGCATTTGACACCAACTTTGAATTTAACCGAAGATTAATAATTTATGCGAAATTTTTATTCATGGATTAAATTCAAGATTGGTGCCAAATGATAGTTTATGAAAAACTAAGATAGGAATGTAAAATCCGTTTTCTTGTAAAATTAACCGTTCAGGTTTTACAGTCTGTCAAAGATACAAAAAAGTCAGTTTTCAACTGTCAATATTTCCAAAACAGTTGAAAATAGGTATATGTCATTGTAATGAAATATGTCTAGAATTTTCCGTAGAATCCAGAAATGTCATAATATATACAGGGAGAGTAATTTAAAAAAACATAACTTTGTGTTACTACTAGTTGTTGGGCCACCCTGTATACTGAAAAAAAATTTAGGAATGTAGTACTCATGTATATCTACAAGTTTTGTATTTAGTTTTTTCTCCGATCTCCGTTAGTATAGGTGATATGGAGCACCGCGCGCTTAGTAACTCACCCTGTATACTTAGGTAGAGAAGTTGGTCATTGGGTACATTCAGGCGGTGCCAGCGGCAAATTTCACAATTTCAACACTGACAATGAGAGAACAATCATTCTCATAAGAACGCTGTTTCTCAGTTTCGAGAATAAAGTCCCTGCTGAGTGGCTGAGCTTAGCCGCTGAGCTTAGCCGCTGAATTTAGCCGTAATGTGTAAGGTATATAATGATTTTCTCTATCGAGAAATATATAGAATTTTTTTTACTACTTCTAGTAGAAAATAAAAAATAAGTTTGAAAACTGTGCTTAAATAATTTTTTCTTGTCGGAAATGCTGCCCTCTATAAACAGCTTACGGTAACTTCCTATAATGTACATACAGAAACCTGCTTTTTTGTAAATTGACAGTTTGAAATTGAAATTAAAAAATAGAAACCTGTTAAATTATGAAAATATCCTTGCGTCATGACGTCATTTTCATTATTGACCTAGGTATTTTTTTCATTATTTTCATTATTCCTAGGGAGAGAAATTGAATTTTTTCCCAGAAAAATAGATTGAATAATGACTACTTTTCAGGTTAGTAGTAAAAAAAAGTCTTTCTTCTTTCGCATTATAAACCTCGGCGCTTCGCGCCTCGATTTATAAAAGCGCTCGGTATATAATGACCAACTTCTCTACCTAGATATACAGGGTGGAAAATTAAAAAGGATCCACCTGGATTTTCTCGAAAATTATCAGGAAATTAAAAAAACGCCGAAACACGTCGATTTTGTTTGTAAAGGCGACACTTTGTGGCTATTCCAAAATTTTCCTAGATTGCACCCCCTTACCGGGGTGAGTTGTACCCTCAAAAGTTGAATAGGGAAACTGGGTCGAGTGGTACCTTGTTTGAGAGGTATTTGAGATGACTTTACAGATCTGTCATTTTTATCCAAATCTGACTTCTAGTTTTCAAGATATTCGCCTCGGAAGTTGCCATGGGGCGAAAAGAGAAAGTGTTTTCCGTGAAAAAATTAAAAGTGGGTAATGTTTGAAAGGTTGTTCAAACTAACAAAGAAACAAAGGTTCAAAATAAACAAAATTGACGTGTTTTAGGAATTTAAATTTTTTCTTGGAGAAAAAAACGAAAAACACATTCTCTTTTCGCCCCATGGCAACTTCCGAGGCGAATATCTTGAAAACTAATAGTCAGATTTCAAAATAAATCACAGATCTGTAAAGAAATCTCAAATACCTCTCAAACAAGGTACCACTCGATCCGGTTTCCCTATTCAAGTTTTGAGGGTGCAACTCACCCCGGTAAGGGGGTGGAATCTAAGAAAATTTTGAAATAGCCAAAAAGTGTCCCCCTTACAAACAAAATCGACGTGTTCTGGCGTTTTTTTTATTTCCAGATAATTTTCGAGAACATCCAGGTGGATCCTTTTTAATTTTCCACCCTGTATAATCTACTATATTATTACTGAGGGCTAATGTGTGTGCTTCAGTTGTCTCAAGTTCTGCACAGCTTTTACAATAAAGTAACTTATAAGAGTTGCATGTTGCTCCAAATAATTCATTTTCAGCTGGACGGGCCTTATGCACGCAACTTTTAAAACATTTCGAACAACACCTTTCCATTTTTATTTTTATTCTTTAAAGTTTTTGTAAACGCAACATAAACAAACATAAAATTTGCATTGAACTTTAACTTATTAAAAACTGATTCGTCTTATTAGGTACTCTCTATGTGTCTAGTAGGTTGGTTCCGTTTGTATATTTTTTGAATGGAGTGTTTATACCATAGTTTTTTCTGTCTAGGTGTTTGTGTAGGGCCGAGCATGCTGTGGGAATCGACACAAAATGCACCTCTGAGAACGTTACCAACTCTGATAGAGACCCTAATCAACAATTGCCAGGCACTTTTTGGTTCTCAAGTGGTCTCTTTGCTAGGCGAAGCTGCCAACGACAGTGGTGCTGAAGAATCTGACAGCTTACATTGTAAGTTAAAACCAAATACGCAGATTATTATTGTGAAAGTTTCTTGGATTTAGCCGAAAGACTAATTGGTTTTTTTTCCTATCCCTACACCCAAGAAACTTTCAGATGAAATTGACAAGAAACGAATCAAAATCAAATAATTTGTAATTATTATTCCGTTATGTAGCTTTGGGTCTTTCGTTGGACTCAGTGGAATTGAGCAAAGATCAGAAATCGTTGAGCCGCGACTCTGGCCTGACATTGTCCGAAGACGATCGCGAAAGTCCAGGTTTGAACTATCACACTGCCACGTTTCATCGGTCCGATTGGGCCCGGCAAGCTGCTAGAATGAGATCGATGGATATCACTTCTTCTTGGATTGAAGAGGACGAAGCTTTTTGTGCTTCAAATGAGAGGTGAGTAGAATTGTCACTCTATCACAAGTTAGAATCCACGGATGTACCTAATTCAGATTTCTTGAAAGAATTGATTTTAATAAAAGAAGCTGCACACAAAAAATTTAAGGAAACATCTTCTTTAGATGAGGATTACCTTGAGTTTTTTCAATTAAGGGTAAAATGTAAGGAATATGCTTCAATCAGCCATCAAAATTACCTAGATAGTATAGAGGATAGGGTGCAGGATCGAAATGGATTTTGAAGTTATATTAGGTCAAAGCAAAATACCAACGACGTAGCAGTAATGGCCGCTCATGGTCTATGCTGGAAAGGGTTTCAATTTTAGACCAGACGATGTATAGGCGACCGGGCGTAGCATAGTCAGAGCTGTTTCGAGTACAGGCAAAATGTACTCGGCTACCGGGTACAAGTACTTAGCGTAGAATGTTCTCGAGTACAAAGTACAATTACAAATATTGTAGTAAATAAGTACCATGTACATTTATGAATACATTCTAATATCACCTTGCATTCTTAGTACAATTAAGTTATTACGCAACGTCCTCTTTTAAACAGCCTTGATCTATCATGGAAATCTAATGAATCCTTATAGGCTGCAAGCGCTGAGGTAGCTGCGAACTTAGCATTGCACATGGGTTATGACGTCACCTCTCCTTTCACACTTCCGTCACATTTCCCGAAATTTACCATCAAACCGCCGGTATAGATGTTCACACATCAAAAATTGAAAAACACATTTTGATTTACTAAATGAATTCAGCAATTTTGAAGTTTGATTTAGTTATCCAGAGTCCATAAGGACTCGGTTATAACTGTACAAATTATAATATAAAATTATATATTCTGAATCAGAATTAATTTATCTTTAAGATAGAATAAGATTCAATTCTCTATCTCAAATACTTCTGGAGATATTGAGGCTCAAAGTCAAAACTTTGTCTCAAATTTCACAAAACATTCAAAGTTGATTTTCTTGAAAACGAAGCCCCTGGGCTCAGAGTCTCAAATAATCTTTTTTATAGTCCTTCTGAAGAGCTACAATTGAGCAAAAGATTCATGCCGATAGCTTTACTGGTTTCTAAAATATGGCCCTTTGAAATATTTGAAAATCAAATTTCCATGCATACCTCTTTGAAAAAATTTGAATTTTTAAATTTTTAGATTTTGCAATTTTTGACTTTATCAATCGAAAGAAGAGGTGAAAATTAGTGGAAAAGCATTTTCGCAATTTTGTTTTTCGAGTTTTGAGGCTTGTGAAAAAATTAAAACCGATTTTCCACATTTTACGTCCAGAAAATTTCAATAATCTGACATTGTCTCACAAAATCGCTCATTACTCGGTTATTATTGCATCAAATAAATGTATAATTATATATTCTGAATCAGAATCAAATTATCTTTAAGATAGAATAAAATTCAATTCCCTATCTTAAATACTTTTGGAGATATTGAGGCTCAAAGTCAAAACTTTGTCTCAAATTTCACAAAATATTCAAAGCTGATTTTCTTGAAAACGAAACCCTTAAGTTTAGAGTCTCAAATAACCTTTTTTATAGCTCTTCTCCAGAGCTACAATTGAGCAAAAGATTCATGCCGATAGCTTTACTGGTTTCTAAAATATGGCCCTTTGCAATATTTGAAAATCAAATTTTCATGCATACCCCTTTTAAAAAAATTTGAATTTTCAAATTTTTGGATTTTGCAATTTTTGACTTTATCAATCGAAAGAAGAGGTGAAAATTAGTGGAAAAGCATTTTCGCAATTTTGTTTTTTGAGTTTTGAGGCTTGTGAAAAAATTAAAACCGATTTTCCACATTTTACGTCCAGAAAATTTCAATAATCTGACATTGCCTCACAAAATCGCTCATTACTCGGTTATTATTGCATTAAATAAATGTATAATTATATATTCTGAATCAGAATCAAATTATCTTTAAGATAGAATAAAATTCAATTCCCTATCTTAAATACTTTTGGAGATATTGAGGCTCAAAGTCAAAACTTTGTCTCAAATTTCACAAAAGATTCAAAGCTGATTTTCTTGAAAACGAAGCCCTTAAGTTTAGAGTCTCAAATAACCTTTTTTATAGCTCTTCTCCAGAGCTACAATTGAGCAAAAGATTCATGCCGATAGCTTTACTGGTTTCTAAAATATGGCCCTTTGCAATATTTGAAAATCAAATTTTCATGCATACCCCTTTTAAAAAAATTTGAATTTTCAAATTTTTGGATTTTGCAATTTTTGACTTTATCAATCGAAAGAAGAGGTGAAAATTAGTGGAAAAGCATTTTCGCAATTTTGTTTTTTGAGTTTTGAGGCTTGTGAAAAAATTAAAACCGATTTTCCACATTTTACGTCCAGAAAATTTCAATAATCTGACATTGCCTCACAAAATCGCTCATTACTCGGTTATTATTGCATTAAATAAATGTATAATTATATATTCTGAATCAGAATCAAATTATCTTTAAGATAGAATAAAATTCAATTCCCTATCTTAAATACTTTTGGAAATATTGAGGCTCAAAGTCAAAACTTTGTCTCAAATTTCACAAAAGATTCAAAGCTGATTTTCTTGAAAACGAAGCCCTTAAGTTTAGAGTCTCAAATAACCTTTTTTATAGCTCTTCTCCAGAGCTACAATTGAGCAAAAGATTCATGCCGATAGCTTTACTGGTTTCTAAAATATGGCCCTTTGCAATATTTGAAAATCAAATTTTCATGCATACCCCTTTTAAAAAAATTTGAATTTTCAAATTTTTGGATTTTGCAATTTTTGACTTTATCAATCGAAAGAAGAGGTGAAAATTAGTGGAAAAGCATTTTCGCAATTTTGTTTTTTGAGTTTTGAGGCTTGTGAAAAAATTAAAACCGATTTTCCACATTTTACGTCCAGAAAATTTCAATAATCTGACATTGCCTCACAAAATCGCTCATTACTCGGTTATTATTGCATTAAATAAATGTATAATTATATATTCTGAATCAGAATCAAATTATCTTTAAGATAGAATAAAATTCAATTCCCTATCTTAAATACTTTTGGAAATATTGAGGCTCAAAGTCAAAACTTTGTCTCAAATTTCACAAAATATTCAAAGCTGATTTTCTTGAAAACGAAACCCTTAAGTTTAGAGTCTCAAATAACCTTTTTTATAGCTCTTCTCCAGAGCTACAATTGTGCAAAAGATTCATGCCGATAGCTTTACTGGTTTCTAAAATATGGCCCTTTGCAATATTTGAAAATCAAATTTTCATGCATACCCCTTTTAAAAAAATTTGAATTTTCAAATTTTTGGATTTTGCAATTTTTGACTTTATCAATCGAAAGAAGAGGTGAAAATTAGTGGAAAAGCATTTTCGCAATTTTGTTTTTTGAGTTTTGAGGCTTGTGAAAAAATTAAAACCGATTTTCCACATTTTACGTCCAGAAAATTTCAATAATCTGACATTGTCTCACAAAATCGCTCATTACTCGGTTATTATTGCATTAAATAAATGTATAATTATATATTCTGAATCAGAATCAAATTATCTTTAAGATAGAATAAAATTCAATTCCCTATCTTAAATACTTTTGGAGATATTGAGGCTCAAAGTCAAAACTTTGTCTCAAATTTCACAAAAGATTCAAAGCTGATTTTCTTGAAAACGAAGCCCTTAAGTTTAGAGTCTCAAATAACCTTTTTTATAGCTCTTCTCCAGAGCTATAATTGAGCAAAAGAATCATGCCGATAGCTTTACTGGTTTCTAAAATATGGCTCGGTTATTATTGCAACAAATATGATTTAAAATTAATAAGATTCAATTCTGTATCCTGAATACTTCTAGAGATATTGAGGCTCAAATTCAAAACCTTGTCTCAAATTTCTGAAGCCCATCAGGATATTGTCAAAGGCGAATTTTTTTTCGGGTGCCTCGCCCAAAAACGTTTATTTTTCTTCAATAAAAATAATTTATTCAGCTCACTCAACTCAAATTCCCCCCCCTTATATACGTCCTTGCGAAATACAAATAGTTTTCCCAGTTTAATGACTTTGAAAGATGAGAATGCAGATTATCCTGAAGACAGTGCTGAGCTCTTTAAAAAACACTTTTGTATCTGTATACAAAAAAGATGACAAATCAGATGCAAATATCTCATGTGATTTGTTGTCTGTTAACTTGAGCTATGTAACTATTAATGTCATGGATGTTTATGATAAGATTTTTCATTTAAAAGACAATCTAGGTAGTGGACTGTCTCAATCATGAAGAAATGCATATGTATATTTTCCTATTTTTCAATTGTGTCAAATTTATAATAGATCATTGAGCAAGGATATTTTTCCAAAAGCATGGAAGACCAGTTTTGTGACTTCAATTTTCAAAAGTGGGAATAACTCCCTAATTAAGAACTACAGGCCTGTTTCTAGAATTTTTGTTTCCTCCAAAATACTAGAAGCCTATTCTGCTATTCAAAAAATCTTATTTGTAATTCATATTTTTGAAATCTACTTCAGAAAATCTAATTTGTAAAATGGGTTTTCTTAATTACATTTGGAAAATCTAAATTACAAGTGAGGTTTTCTGCAATACATTTGTGTTTTTCTGAATTACAATAATTGAAAAAGATGAATATTTCATATTTAAAATAATTATTATTGTTTCAGTTTGTGTTCGCCGCCCATCCCGCCCAGACGGCCGCCGCCTTTGAGACATTTGCCGCCCGTTCACATACCGCCCGTGTACAGACCGCCGCCGCCTCCGCCGCCGACATACGCAACAGCCAGACTATTGTTGGTTACAGACGCAGAAAGCGAAAGTTACGTTTAAGTTTTTTTGAGGAAATTTACAAAGTATTTCTTGATCAAAATTAAGTATTTGTAGGCGCTCAAGTGCAAACATCAAAATTCAACATACAGATTGGACCAACCTACTACTAGACACATAAGTCAACTAGTCTATGTATCCAGTAGCCTGGTCCTGTTTGTAGATATTATTTATGAAAAAAAAAAAGTAATTTGAGATGTTTAAAGACTGACATAATTTTTGATTCTTTATTGCACTTGGGACATAAAAATATTGTTTACCTAATATTTAGGTAATTAGTAGGTATATTGTTGGCCATATTTGATTTTTTATATCAACGATTTAGATATTAAATTAGTTTTCAGAGATGGTGCTTTGTTTGTGTGTAAAATTTATTGTAAATAAGATTTATTTAAGTGCCAAATTAAATTCGAATCCATGTTGTACTTAAATCCTGTATTATAGATTTGTTTATTTTTGTATAAAAACTTTTTTTTAAGATAATTAATTATTATTCTTTAGAGTTTTGCCATGTTTTCGTTATAAAATGTTTAGTTTTTTTCTATAATTATAATTGTATTACATTTAAAAGGTTTACAAAATAAATATAACGATATATAGAATAATAATTGATATTTTATTAAATTCTAAATCTATTATTGCTTAATATGAAATAACTACAGTCTATATAAATATGTTAGATAAAAAATCACGCAAGCTAAAAAATATAATACTGGAAGTACCTATTGATCACTAAAAGAGATTCAAGTATAAAAAAATTAAGTAAAAACATTGGCCAATAAAACTATCACACAGAGAGGGCTGATATTATGGATTGTAAATTCACAAAAATATGGCAAGAAGTACATATACCAAATGAAAAATCCTTTACTCAATATTGGCTTTAGCCACAAATGAAGTCAAAGAAGAAATTTCATTGGGAGTAGTACTGGGTTCACTAGACAATCTACTGAATTCCACCTCCTCGCCCTCAGAACAAGTTGGCTCAGAAGGCCATTGTTTGTGACTAGGAGCGTAAAGCATCAGCAAAGCGCAAATGTAAACGTTCCACATTCCATAAACTCCTGTATGAATAATGGATGTCAACTCAATATCCATCGAATCATCCAAATTATGCTCTCCTTGTGTATATTGGTTCAAAATAAATGAAACAATTGTAATCCCAGCACAAACTACTGTAGCTCCCATAAGAAAAGTGAAACGATACATGGTGCCTTCATAGTGCAAACGTCTTGCCTGAGTCATGCTTGGAAGCACCGATCGTTTAATACTAATATTTTTGAATACCCTCCAAATCATGTAGCAAAGAAAAAGGAAGTAAATACCAGCACATAGTCCTGCACAAATTACAAAAGTAAGGGCCAAATTGGTGCCCAAAGGTGTTACCCAAATCGACGAAAACGGATTGACCAAGTGCATGCCACGCTCGCATAAATCAAAAATTAGTAAAGACACACATCCAACTGCAATTGAACTTAAATGTTTCCAATATTTTCTCAGACTGTTTCTTTCTCCGGTTTCTTGAATGAGCATGTGTTCACCAGTAAAAACTAGCCAAAAAGATAAAAGCGTGGCATAGAAAATTCCTTGCCTAATATCACTAAGCAAAAGCATGTAAGGCATGTCAAAATGTAAAGTTAAATATTCTATTGGCAAATCTAAAAATGCTAAAGTGCCACCTAACACAATCAACATATACTCTAACAAAGCAGGTGTCCGTGACAATAAATGCACCCTATTCCAAAACCAAATCATAATTGTAACAATTATAGGGAAAAAAATCGATTTCAGACTGATCCAAACTTTGGTGAAACCGCCGTTCATGTGAATCATGTGCAAAAATATTTCTTCCACTTTGAGCAAATGAGTGTTGAGCTCTTTTTGAGAATCGTATGGCAATCTGAGATTTAACAAGTAATAATCATGGTAGAGGGAACCTAGTTCAAATAGAGGAACCATGGAGCAATCGTAGGGGTAGCCTTCTTTGTTTTCAATTGCTGTATCATTGAATATGCAGTCCATGTATCTGGAAAATAATAGGAATTAGTTACAAAATTGGTAAGCATAAATGGGGATTTTTAGAAACCATTAAAGATACAGAGGGTGGACCAAATGAGAAAAAAGTTTGCCTATGAATTGAAATTTTGCCAATAAATAGAAAAAAGATTAAAATTTTCCTCTGCTAGCTTATTTTTGTAAAATAAGAAAGATTTTGAAGCTGTACAGGGTGGCCCAAATTCGAGCCTCATCATTGGGATCTCGGTGACCGTAAGAGATACGGGGTTGGTCAAATAATGGCAAAATTGCACAATTTTATGACCAACAGAATGCCGTTTTGAAATTAGAAAGATTCCGAATACTTCCGAAGATATTCGGAAAAAAAAAGGAAAGTTTGTAAAATTTTTGAGCTTATTTGAAAAGAAATTTCAAAATAAATGTCACTTCATCGTTGTCACTTTTTCCCCTTTAGAAGATGGTGCTACTAAATTTAAAATTCGACGTTTCGTCTTCAGACGGCCATCCTCAACTTACGTTTTTTAAATACGAAACTATATTTTTTTTTTACGATTTTGTCATCTCTGGGCATCCGAAAACCGATACTGTTTATAATTTTTCAATAACACGGTAAAAAAAGCAGGTCCGTATTTGAAAAAATTAAATTTATGATGATTCCAGAGGAACGAAACGTCGGATTTCAAATTTAATACCGCCATCTTGTAGAGAAGAAAAAGTGACAATGGGAATGTGAAATTAGTTTTTCAAAATCTTTTTAAATGGAATCAGGAAAAAATTTAAGAAAAGCGAGAAATTAATGTTTTTTTCGTATAGTTTTCATTTTTTCCTGATTTTATGTAAAAAGATTGTGAATAACTAGGGTTTCCATACGTCCGGATTTACCCGGACATGTTTGGGTTTTTAGGGTGTCCGGGGAAGTCCGGCCGGAATTCGGAACAATGTCCGGAAAACTCAGAGATCGTGAAAATACTCATACTCAGTTTACGCACTATCCAAAAGACGTAAAATTTTACTTCTCACATTAGTACGTGAAGTAAGTCACTTTACACACTAGGGTCACTAGGCAATTTTCCGCGAGGATAACCAAGCATTCTCGAGTATGCTAGACTAGATTATGTGATATGTCAATTGTGTCATACTCCCCTAACTCACCCATCATCAAATTCTGGGATACTTGAGGATCAAGAACACTTAGGGCCGAATTTATATAGTCGTTTCTTGGGTCTTCCTTGAAGGTCGTAAGTTTAGAATGGACACTTGCTACTATTTGACAGGTTAGTCATCTCAATTCTAAACGTTCAAAGCCTCCTTGAGGTCTGAGGAAACTGCAAGCAGCGACTATAAATCCGGCCCTTAACTTCTTCTGTGAGAACAGACCGAAAACTTTCTACATTTGAAATCGACGACAAAATTAACTCACTAGCACAGCCTGAATCGCAAGCATTCCATCGTGGTCTGCGGGTGACGTCGTCACTATAAACTGCTGGTAGTGACGTCACTCGCAGGCCCAGAATTGAAGGGTGAGGGAGTTAGGGGAGTATGACACAGTTGACACATCACATAACCCAGCATAATCAGATTATGCTTGATTATCCTCCAATGTTATCCTCGCGCAAAATTGCCTACTAGTGCGTGAAGTCAATGACAGATGTCGACACTGTAATTTTTTTTTAGTAAATTACTCTACTTTACGCATTAATGCGTAAAGTATTTGTCTAAAGTTATTTTTTTACACATATTTCATTGGTAGTAGAAAATTGTTTGTATATTATGCAATACGTGTGTAAAGTGAACCTTTTTTCACAAATGTGAATTTTGTCACACTCGCCTTTCACTTCACACACTCTCAATAACTATTTCGGCGAAGTCCGGATTTTGTCCGGATTTCTTGACTCCTTTGTCCTGAATTCCGAAAAACCTTTATGGAAACCCTATGAATAACTAATTTCATATTTCCACTATCACTTTTTCTTCTTTACAAGATGGGGGTATTAAATTTGAAATCCAACGTTTCGTTCCTCTGAAATCATTATCAATTTATTTTTTTCAAATACGGACCTGCTTTTTTTACTGTGTTATTGAAATTAGTATATTGTGTATTTAGGTGGAAAAGTGACACATTCTCGACCGACGGTGTAAGTTGACAGGCGAGGCGTAGCCGAGGCCGGCAAACACCGAAGGCCGAGAATGTGCTTTTCCTCCGAAATACACAATATACTAATTTCAATAACACAGTAAAAAAAGCAGGTCCGTATTTGAAAAAAATAAATTGATGATGATTTCAGAGGAACCAAACGTTGGATTTCAAATTTAATATGGCCATCTTGTAGAGGAAAAAAAGTGACAATGAGAATGTGGAATTAGTTTTTCGAAATCTTTTTAAATGGAATCAGGAAAAAATTTAAGAAAAGCGAGAAATTAATGTTTTTTTCGTATAGTTTTCATTTTTTCCTGATTTTATTTAAAAAGATTGTGAATAACTAATTTCATATTCCCACTGTCACTTTTTCTTCTCTACAAGATGGTGGTATTAAATTTGAAATCCAACGTTTCGTTCCTCTGGAATCATCATCAATTAATTTTTTTCAAATACGGACCTGCTTTTTTTTACTGTGTTATTGAAATAGTATATTGTGTATTTAGGTGGAAAAGTGACACATTCTCGGCCGACGGTGTAAGTTGACACCAAAGGCTGAAAATGTGCTTTTCCACCGAAATACACATACTATTTTTTCTGCGATCGGATAAATACCTGTTAAATGTTTGTCTTTTAGTTCCAATTATTGAGCAATACGAGAATCACATTCCCGGCCTAGGCCGGAAAAGTGTTTCCCGTATTGTTATTCATTGATTCCTTAGCAACTATTGAAACATATAGGGCACTTTCCAAAATTCACCGGTTTGTGAACCGATGCGATACTGGTTTAATAGTTTACTCACCAAACTGTTCCAAAATTTACCGACTTTCTACCGGTTGAACCAGATCGTCCGTTCCAAAATTGACCGGAATTATCAGCTGTTTGAAACCGGTGAGGCACCGGATCTACCGGGAATTTTTGTCGGTTTTTTCGGTTGGAGATTTTTTGACACTTTTTTTTTGACGTACATCAATTGCTTTGATTGGGCTTTATCGGCAGTCGTTCGTTAAATTGTCGAAACACCGCTTTAACACACCAAAGCGTTCCAAAATGCATCAGAAATATGTTGTAACTGGACTTACACCTAACTTTAACCGGAATTTTTTGACAGCTACCGGTTTATTTAACCGGTCAATTTATCGGTGAAATTTGGAAAGTGCCCATAATTGAAATACCAGAGTATTGAATTTTGCGACCTGTCAACCGGTCAAAAATGCTGACATTTCTTGTCAATCGCAGAAAAAATTATAAATAGTATCGGTTTTAGGATGCCCAAAGATGACAAAAACGCAAATAAAAAATCTAGGTCCGTATTTAAAAAACGTAAGTTGATGATGGCCGCCTGAAGATGAAACGTCGAATTTTAAATTTAGTAGCACCATCTTCTAAAGGGGAAAAAGTGACAATGATGAAGTGACATTTATTTTAAAATTGCTTTTTTCCGAATATAGGCATTTTCCAAAATTCACCAGTTTCTGAACCGGTGCAATACCGGTTTATTAGTTTACTCACTAAAACGTTCCAAAAAGTACTGACTTTTTACCGGTTGGATCAGATCATCCGTTCCAAAGGATAACGCACACCTAACATGGGACTTTTGGGCTCTATGGATTTTGCCCATTTTTTGATATGTTGTAGAGGATTTAATTCTGAACAACCTTTAAATTGGACGAAATCTTGTAGGTATTACGATATTTGAGATATGAGTGTTGAACTTTTTTGCAACTTTTTGTGTGGAGAGTATACGAAAAACTGGTGTTTAACAGTCAAAATTTTGACAGGTCGACATTTTTGACGTCACTTACAAATGTCAACATAGGCTGAGGCCGCGACCGCACTGGCGCCAACATTGACCCCAGTGCGGTTCCGGCCTTAACCTAAGATGACATTAATTTTTGAGTGACGTAAAATATGTGAACCTGTCAATATTTTGACTGATAAATACCAGTAGCACCAGTATCTCGTATACTCTCCACACAAAAAGTCGCAAAAAAGTTCATCTTTCAACGCTCATATCTCAAAGACCGTAATACCTACAAGATTTCGTCCCATTTGAAGGTTGTTCAGAATTAAATCCTCTACAACATATTAAAAAATGGGCAAAATCCATAGAGCCGAAAAATCCCATGTTAGGTGTGCGTTATCCTTTCACCGAAAAATTGACCAGTTAAATAAACCGGTAGCTGTCAAAAAATTCCGGTAAAAGTTAGGTGTAAGTCCGGTTACAAGATTTTTCTGATGAATTTTGGAACGCTATGGCGTGTTAAAGTTTGGTTGTGCCGGTTATGTTGTGACAATTTAACGAACAACTGCCGATAGTGCCCATTCAAAGCAATTGATGTACGTCAAAAAAAAAATGTCAAACAATCTCCAACTGAAACAACCGACAAAAATTCCCGGTGGATCCGGTGCGTCACCGGTTTCAAACAGCTGATCATTCCGGTCAATTTTGGAACGGACGATCTGGTTCAACCGGTAAAAAGTCTGTAAATTTTGGAACGGTTTGGTGAGTTAACTATTAAACCGGTATCGCACCGGTTCAGAAACCGGTGAATTTTGTAAAGTGCCCAGCCGAACTTAAACCTAACTTTTACCAGAATTTTCTGACAGCTACCGGTTTATTTAACCGGTTACGGTTACCGAGATCCCAATGATGAGACTCGAATTTGGGCCACCCTGTACAGCTGTAAAACTTTGGAAACATTTGTAGATAATTTAATCGGCTTCAATTGAAGCCTAATTACGTTAAAATCGAATTGAAATTAACAAAGTTGTGAGGCAAAATGTGTATCAATGGCAATGAAAAAAAATATTTTTTTGCCCTGTATATCTGTTGCTATTCCCAGTGCAAAGAAGTTGATGACAGATTATTAATAGGCACTTGATTGCACAATCTTTTTTCTGTAAGGTTAGGGTTGTCAGACGTCCCTATTTTAACGAAACAGTCCCGATATTGGAGATTTTGTCCCGTGTCCCGATGGACTATACGTCGGGACGCTAAATGTCCCGATTCCACGAAATTCTTTTGAAAGTTAGAAAAAATTAAAAGTACTTATAAGGGCGAGTATTATAAAACTATTTTGAAGATATTTTGAGAAGTTAACTTTTAGTTATCTTTCAAAATAGTTTTATACCTGCCCTTAGACAGATAACTAAAACTTTACTTCAGGGGGCCGATTCTCGAGCCAGGGAGTGGATTTCCTCGAGAGAACACATTTTTCGTCTTTATCATTCTCGTTTACTTTTCGATTACGTTAACAAGGAAAAACATTCGTTCTATCGGAAAGCTCTATTCCCTTAAACGAAAATCCGAGCTGGATTATCCGACCCCTGGAATAACAAGAGAAGTTACGTCATTCCAGAAGTTAACTTCTACACCTTTTACGTAAGTATTTCAGAATGTATCATTTGTATTTCAGATTCATCAATTCTAATTCAGAATGCGTCAATTGTATTTCAGTTGTGTAAGTTCAATTTCAGAAATTGTTATTTGTATTTCAACTTTGTCAGTTGTAGTTCAGAAAACATCATTTGTGTTTCAGATTTGTCAGGTGTATTTCAGAAAAAGTCATTTGTATTTCAGAAATCGTCATTTGTGTTTCAGATTATTTATTTGTAGATCAGAAATTGTAAATTGTATTTCAGATATTATCAATGTACACCTTTTCCATATGTATTTCAGAGATCGTCAGTTTAATTTCAGAATGCGTCAATTGAAATTCAGATTAGTAAATTGTATTTCGGAAAGCGTCAATTGTATTTCAGAATAAATAATTTTATCTGGGAAAGAATCAATTGTATTTCAGATTAGTTTATTTTATTTCAGAAAGCATCAATTGTATTTCAGATTAGTTGATTGTAGTTCAGAAAACGTGAATTGTATTTCAGAAATTGTCAGATGTAGTTCGGAAATTAGTAGGTATCTACGCAGATTTATAAATTTTATTTAATACACTACATTGATAATATCTGAAATACATTTGACGAATTCTGAAATACAATTTACAATTTCTGATCTACAAATAAATAATCTGAAACACAAATGACGATTTCTGAAATACAAGTGACCAAATTGAAATACAAATGACTTTTTCTGAAATACATCTGACGAATTTGAAACACAAATGATGTTTTCTGAACTACAACTGACAAAGTTGAAATACAAATAACACTTTCTGAAATTGAACTTACACAACTGAAATACAATTGACGCATTCTGAACTATAGTGTATTAAATAAAATTTATAATGAGTCACCTATACACCTATCTTGTGTTGATTTGGGGAAATCTGCGTAGATACCTACTAATTTCCAAACTACATCTGACAATTTCTGAAATACAATTCTTTTCTGAACTACAATCAACTAATCTGAAATACAATTGATTCTTTCCCAGATAAAATTATTTATTCTGAAATACAATTGACGATTTCCGAAATACAATTTACTAATCTGAATTTCAATTGACGCATTCTGAAATTAAACTGACGATCTCTGAAATACATATGGAAAAGGTGTAGTATTCTGACAAAATAGTTTTATAATACCCACCCTAAGTCACTCTTTTTGAATTGTACGTACTTGTTAAGCCCGAGCTTGATTTTATTTTTCAGAACTATATTCGTCATTGATAATCACTGTATGAGCTGGATCTGTTAGAAGATTTATCTACAAAGCAAGTAGTCTATTTCGTGAGATAACATATACTCTCTGGAGTCTGGAGATATCCAGAGGTTTTTTCTGTTGGGGTAAAAAGAATGGAATTTTTGTCCATCTCGATTCTTACTAAAAGAAGGTGAACATTTCTGGAAATAATTTAGTTTGGGTTTGTTTCATATTTTCCATTTCATCCAGATTTAGCCCTTTTCTCATTATTTAAGAGGATCGAGCAGTTAACTGAAGTCGAATACCAACAACTGGACAGTCAGCTGGACGCATTTCTCAGTTTATTTTTAAATTTTATTGTTAAGTATTATTTTTATATCAAATTATTCCTTTGAAAAAAAGTGTGCCGATTTTTATTGAAAGTCCCGATTTTTTAACAGCTTTTTGATTGGTATACCCGATTTGTAGATATGTATTTCAATCTGGCAACCCTACTGTAGGTATGTTCAATGGTTTCCAAAATCCCCACATACTTTCACTTATTCAGGAGAGTATAATACCGTACCTTTCTGTTATGGCATTGGTGTAATGAGTCCAAGGAGTTTTCCCTCCATTCTTGACCTTGTTGCTGTAAGCCAGACGAGCATCCAGAGTCAACTCTATCATGGGGTTCAACAACTTTTGTCCACTCCTGTAGACGAGTTCAATTTGTAAAACGCCAGCCAAATTTTGTTGCCAGCGCGAAAAGTCTTGTTGAAAGTTGGGCATCTCGACCACAAACACCTTTTAAATAAAGCAATTATATAAATAAAGCTTTTGAGAAGTTTTTTTATATACTTACCAAATTGTTGGGTGAAATTCCTTCCAAGGCATTGTCGTACCTCAAATCTACTTTCTTCGGGCAGTTTCTAGAAAACCATTTATCTCGAACTTCCGGTTCGGGATCCACACAAACGGTGGCCAAAATGGTCTGAATACCAGCCGGAGAGGGCGAAATTAAGCCCACCAAAAAGCACGCTAGTTGGCTTAGTAGTAAAACAGTCACTAGAACGCTTAATTTTCGACCGCTGAGGTTTTCTAAAATCGTACCAGGCATCTTGAATTTGAAAATCTCAAAAATGCACAAAAGAATTGAAAAATAAACAAAACTTTGTTGCATAGATGTTTGCTTTGCTCCAACATTTATTTCATTGTCGGGATTCTGCGCAAAATGTAAAATCGTATACAGAGTAGTTTCGAAACCGCTTTTGGGACGGTTTTATGAACAGACCTTTCATTTTCCCACCATTGGCAACCGTGCCTACATGTTTTACAGTTAACTTACCTGCTGTATGATAATCACCTTCCTGTTTATTTTGATTTTTAAATTTTTCCCTCAAAATTTGCAATTATGTATAATTTATTAATGTTTCCAGTGAATAACCGCAAATAAATAATAATTGTTATTAAGAATATAAAGAAGTCATTCAACAAAAAAAAATTAAGTATTGTGTAACCGCATTATCCCAGTATATATAAGAATGACCTAAAAACTAGATTCTGTGTGTAAAAAGATTTAAAATGGGCTTCAATACAGTATGTGTATTATTTTTAGTACTATTTTATCTTGGGTGGAGTGAGCAATGCTCAAAAGGATACCCTTTCGAGCATTATTTAGGTACTAGAACCCCTTACAGGATTGTATCGAATAATAGTTTTCATAAAATTCATTATGAAGGTAGGTATAATGATAACAGAAATTATTAATCTTATAAATCTGATTTTGTTCTCTATAGGGTGTACACCAAAGAAAGTATGGATGATAATAAGGCATGGTACAAGAAATCCAAGCACTTCAAATATAGAAACAATTAACGAAAAATTGCCTAAGATTAAATCTTTAATTCTGAACAGCCAAAATCTTCCAAATGGTAAAAAGATTATTATCAAACTAATTTGATTAAACAACCAAAAAAATCTTGCTAGATTTCATCAAAAACCGAGATTTGGACTTATTCAAGAAATGGAAATCATCTTTGGACTCCGAAGACAACAATCTCTTAGCTCACGAAGGAGAAGAAGAAATGTTACTTATAGCTGAAAGAATGCAGAGTAGATTCCCAGAAGTTTTTGAAAATGTTTATAGTAACACCACTTATAAGGTGCAGTAACTTGCAATTCCAGGAATTTAAATAAATTTGAATTTTCCAGCTGAAATTCACTCATTCGCAAAGAACCAAGAAAAGCGCATATTATTTTGCGGCAGGATTGTTTGGCAAACAAACGGCCAAAGATGTTTGGTTTCCAGAACCAAACAAGAAGGATCCTATTTTGAGAGTAAGTTGTTACAGAGTCTGTGACATTTATGTAAAGTATACTACCCAGGTTTCCTCAGGTGTTAGGTGTTTAATCAAAAATCGCTCAGACACGTCAATTTGTGTTTTCTGTGGGACACATTTTATTGGTATTTTCACCCCCTACTTGTGAACTTCTAAGTGGGGGTGACAGGTACCCATAAAATTTCAAATGAAAAGGGGGTCGAGTGATACGTCATTTGATAGCTATTTTCATTAAGATTATATCTCCGAAGTTTCAAGTCGTTACTATTTATTTACCCTGTCGAAATGGCGGCTTCTCAAAGTTAGGAAAAATCAATGGAAAATGCTGTGTGGTTTTTACCAGTTACCTACACATAGGTGTGACAGGTAAAAACTATACAGCTTAGATTATCGAATGTAATACCACAAGAGGTTTCAGGATTACCGGATAATACTTTTACCTGTCACGAAACGTGTTATGCAGCAATATATAATAATATAATAATAATAATAAAATTCTTTATTTGCTCAAATACAATAAAATGTTTAGCATTGTCAACGACTATATAAGTGAACAAATACAGTACAGATATAACTTCAAAAGATAGAAGACACAATTCAACAATAAGTAGTAACTCGAGTAGTAATAAATTAAACAATAATAAGTGATGATACAAAACAAACAATTATTATGACAAACATATTGTTTTCCTATCTATAATTGACATAGAATTCTTCCAAAGTGTAAGGAGACAATTCTAAAAGTAACTTTTTTATTCTATTTTTGAACATAATAGGAGGCAGAGCTTTGATCTCAGGTGCCAGGCAGTTATAAAGTTTTATGCTGTTATTAATGTAAGTTTTATGAGTTAGTGTTAGTCGGTGTTGGTAAATTAATAAGTCTTCACCATGTCTAGTCGGGTAGTGATGTCTGCTATTGACTGTTAAGAATTCAGATATATGTGCTCTTGTGTAGTTGAGGCACTGGTATATGAACATACCTGGTAGGGTCAGTATTTGGAGATCACGAAAAAAAGGTCTGCAGCTTTCAGTTGGTTTCAGTCTTCCAATCGTTCTGATGGCTTTTTTTTGGATTTTAAAAACTTTTGGCCAGTCAACAGAACATCCCCAGAAAAGCAGGCCGTATGACAGCCTAGATTGGAAGAGTCCCATATAGGCTGCACGGGATACTTCAATTGGGGTGATAGGTGCGATTCTGCGAAGAAGATAAAGGGTACAGGAGAGACTCTTAGAAAGTTGGATAATGTGGTTTTTCCAGGTCAGTCTGCTCTCGAACTGGACCCCCAGGAATTTAAGGGCCTTGGCCTCCTCTCTTTCTTTTAGGGAGAAGGTTATGGTTTTGGTTTTATCAAGGTTCAAACAGAGATTGTTGTCAGCGAACCATGTGTGAAGTTTCTTAATGGTGGAAACACATGCAGGATGAAACTGGGCAGTGTTGCAATGGTGGTCAAGGAGGGTTGTATCATCTGCGTACTGTATTGTTTTCAATTCTGGAAAAATAGATGGAAGTTCATTCACATATAGAATGAATAGTAATGGCCCTAGTATGGATCCCTGTGGTACACCTGCAACAACAGGCAACACCGAAGACCTCTTACCATCAAGATCCACCAGCTGGTAGCGGTCTGAAAGATATGACTCAATTATATGCAGTGTGTTGCCTCTAATGCCATAGTAGCCCAGCTTGTTTAGTAGTATCTGGTGTGACACACAGTCGAACGCCTTCGAGAGGTCACAGAAGATGGCCATAACCGACTCTGCCCCCTCGAAGCATCCAACTATATGCTCCACCAGGGCTCTTATTGCATCTGTTGTAGATTTTTTTTTACGAAAACCAAACTGATGGCTGGACAGCAGCTTACTCTTTTCTAAAAATATGGTTAAACGATTGTTTAGGCTGATCTCAATTGGTTTTGACAAGGCCGGTACCACAGAAATCGGTCTATGGTTTCCAGGGTCATTTGCATCCCCTTTTTTGAAAATAGGTACTACCCTACTGGTTTTCAACTTACTTGGGAAATTCCCACCCTCAAAGCATCTGTTTATAATTATGGAAAGGGGAAGGGCAAGTCCTTCCGCGAGTTGCTTCAAGATTTTGTTGCTTAGACCAAAGACATCCTTTGCTTTGCTGTCGCTCATGCAACTCAGGATACTTACTACCTCTGCAGGTGTTACTGGAGTTAAAAAAACTGTATAGTTATTGTGAATAAATGTAGAGGTTAATTCTGAAGGGTCAGCACCAGATCTTTGAAGATTGGCTGATATGGTGTTTGGAATGTTTATAAAGAACTTGTTGAACTCCTCTGGAGAGATTGTGGGAGGTGGATTCGAATTTTCCTTGTTACGAGAAGCTTTTATAATATCCCATATAGCTTTGGGTTTATTAGTATTGTTTAATATGTTGTTGGAAAAAAAAATTACTTTTGCCTTATTTATTTCTGACCTATACAGTTGTTTTTGTCGTTTTATTGCTTCAGAACAGTTGACGTTCGGATTTTGTTTATCAAAAGCTGTAAGAAAATTTAGTGTGTCTCTGTGGTACTTTAGCTCATTACTGAACCATTTCTTGTCACTATTGCTACTGTGACATGTTTTAGTTTTTTGTGGGAAATAGAACTCAAAGACATCCAAAAAAATGCCCAAGAAAGTGTTAAAAGTATTGTCTGTATCTAGTTCGTATAAGAGTGAAGCCCAATCAGTATTTTTTAAAGCACCAATACAAGAAACTATATTGTCAGGACAAATGGGTCTGAATTTAATAATGTTGGTGTGATTGTTGAAAATATTTTTTGTTTGATGCTTATAGGTATTAATGATTGCCATGTGATCTGACAAGTAAGAATCCCATAGTGACCAAAGGGGTTCAATTTCTGTGTTTGTGATACAGTTATCTAAGCAGCTGCTTTTTGTTGTTTTCGATATTCTAGTTGGTTTGTCAATTAGTGTTTTTAGACCATAAGAGTTTAACAGTTGCACAAACTCAAGTGAAGCCTGATCAACTGAGAGCAAATCCACATTAAAATCTCCATAGATAAATAGTGTTGTCTTTTTTTGAGTAATAAATTCTAGAGTTTTTTCAAGCAGTTCAAAAAATATGTCTAATTGGCCACTTGGTGATCTATAAATGCATACAATAATAATATGTGGATTTAAAATTTCAATTGCTGCGATTTCGCAGTGTTTTTCGATTGAAATATCATTGATAAAAGTAATTTCTTTGCATGTATATTTACTTTTTAAATAAATTAAGGCTCCTCCTCCTCCTGACAGGGATCGACAGAAGTGGCTGGCTAGATTGTAGCCCGGCAGTTTGTAGCTTTCCATTGCTGTTTCGGGCAGCCAATGTTCGCAAAGCAAGACAGCGTCAAAGTGTTTGCCTTCAATTTGAAGTTCCAACTCATCAAGCTTTTTTGACAAGCTGCGTATGTTCAAAAACATTGCATGGAATTGTTGCTGGTAACGCGTTGAGTGTCAGGTAAAAGTATTAGGTAATCCTGAAACATCGAGTGGTATTCAAAAGGTTATACAACTCACTGTACATTATTCCCATATGACACGAGAGGCTTAATAAGTGATAAGCCTTTTGGGATTATCGCGCTTGGTGGCAATATTGTTCATTTGCTATTAATAATAATAAAAATTAATAAAGTATGGAAGTTTAGTTCGTTGTATAACCTTTTGAATACCACTCGATGTTTCAGGATTACCTAATACTTTTACCTGACACTCAACGCGTTATCAGCAACACCACTCCTCCTTCGGAGTCGTGGTGTTGCTGCGTAACGCGTTTCGTGCCAGGTAAAAGTATTATCCGGTAATCCTGAAACCTCTTGTGGTATTACATTCGATTATACAACGAACTAAACTTTAATACTTTGAAATTTAAAAAAAAAATCTATAATAGAATTTGCCATAAATGCCACCAAGCGCGATAATCCCAAAAGGCTTATCACTTTTTAAGCCTTTCGTGTCATATGGGAATAATGTACAGTGACACATTCTCGGCCGACGGTGTAAGTTGACAGGCGAGGCATAGCCGAGGCCTGTAAACACCGAAGGTCGAAAATGTACTTTTACACCGAAATACACATACTATTTTTTTTGCGATCGGTTAAATACCTGTTAAATGTTTGTCTTTTGGTTCCAATTATTTAGCAGTACGAGAATTACTTTCCCGGCCTAGGCCGGAAAAGTGTTTCCCGTATTGTTATTCATTGATTCCTCAGCAACTATTGAAACATAATTAAAATACCAGAATATTGAGTTTTGCGACCTGTCAACCAGTCAAAAATGCTGACATTTCTTGTCAATCGCAGAAAAAAGCATTTATCCTAACTTTGACATGCCGCCATTTCGGCAGGGTTAATAGTAGCAACTTAGAACTACGGGGATATAATCTCAATGAAAATAGCTACCAGAGGACATATCACTCGACCCCTCTTTCCATTTGAAATTTTGAGAGTACCTGTTACCCCCACTTAGGGGGTAACAGACGTGTCTGAGCGATTTTTGATTAAACACCTAACACCTGAGAAAACCTAGGTGGAAAGTTTCTCGTGCCCCACCCGGTATAAAGAGTTTATCAGGTTTTCCAAAATTTGAAATCAACTTTGAGCCTCAACAACTCGGAAACTATTTGAGATAAATAATTCAATTTCACTTTATCTTAAAGAGGATTTAATTTTTAGAATATTAATCAAGATATTGATTGAGTAATAAGCCATTTTGTGAGACAATGTCGAATGATCAAAAATGTGAGAAAATTATTATTCTTTTTTTTTTTTTAGTTTTATAAATTATGTAATAAATGGGAAAAAGAAATCAAGTCATCGGTGAAAGACAGAGGCGAACAGAAAACGTTCCAGGAAACTCATTTTATTGAAAAAGTAGTTGAAGAAGTCAATGAAAAATTGGGACTCAATGAATTGACTATTTGTATGTAAAATATAATTGAAAATTATTTTTTTTTAGGAAATTCTCTTTGTTTTATAGCTGATATATCGATAATGTATATAACGTGTGGCTTTGAAACTGCATGGAATAAGCGTAGTAAATCCCCTTGGTGTACACCATTTACTGAAGAAAACTTGAAGGTAAATTTAAGTTAATTTCAAAGTAATTTTATTAATTGCAATTACTTCTTAGGTATTAGAATACATGGAAGATCTTAAATATTACTGGCAAGATGGCTACGGACATGAGTTAACTTATAAGCAAGCTTGTCCAGCTTTTGGGGACCTGGTAAACCATTTTGATACGTAAGTAATTCTATTAGAAAAAAATCAATTTAAGTATTAACATATTATTTTTAGAACTTCTGCTTATCCTAAAGCAGTTATCTATTTCACTCACTCTGGAACTCTACTAAAAATCCTGGCACATTTAGGACTATACAAAGACAATGAAGCACTAACTGCCTCTAACTATGATTCTATGTCCAATAGAAAATGGAAAACAAGCCTCATAGACTCATTTGCAACCAATTTGGCTTTGCTACTTTACGAGTAAGATCTTGTTTTGTTATTGGCCTGCAATTTTTGATGCAAGCATTTTTTTTTTAGTTGTTCTGGAACTAAAAAAGTCTTGACTCTCCACCAAGAAAACATAGTCAAACTACCATGTTGCCCTGATACAGATCTTTGCGAGTTTTCAAAATTAACCGAGTATTACCAAGAAAGTATTGACAGATGCGACTTTGAGGCAATGTGCAACACTTCTACGATTAATTCTAGTGAATTTTAACTTATTGACTATGAGATCAAACCTTGTATAACAAGAACAAATAAATAATTCTATGTTTCAATTAACAACATCTATTTCAAATACAAAATTATTGTTGGGCATTTGGATTCTTCTTCAAAACACAAATCCCATCCAAAGTGGGCCCAAACATCTCAAACTGATCAGTAACTAGCTCGGCTCTTTCAGCTACGGCCAACAAAACTGGAGTCGTATGGGTGTGGATTCCTGAAATAGTTTTCGGAGTGCCAGCTTTTCCTACGATATCCACAGCTTGGCCTACTCGAACTGTTGTCGGAACAATTTCCAAGTTTCCGTCAAGTGTTAGTACCCATCTTGGTTGAATTGCCATTGCTAAACTGTACAGCAAATAATGGGATTTGTGGAGGATTAAAGAGTGAGGTTCTAGAAGAGATACTGTAGTAACTAGAAGGCCTAAAATATATACAAATGATGATTTATTTAAAAAAAAAAATATATATTAGATTCTTGCCGGCCATTCCTACAGGATCCAACAACATCCTGTCTGTGTGCAAAGGATTCAAAGTCATTGTTCCTTTGCCTAAAAATAATAGGCCTTGGGCAATTCTTACCATAAAGAGTTGAGAAGGACTTTTGGCATGGTATACTGCTAGCTGTCTCAATACAGCTGCTAAACGGGCATTGTTTGTACCTGATCCTATCAGACCTAGATAAAGAGGATAATCAGGAAATCTCTCTAAAAGTTAATTTTGAGACCCAATTACTCAAAAGCTTTTTGAGCTATCAAACGCAATTTTGCATGGATTTATAGAGAATTTAATGCTTTTTCCAATGGTATATATTTTATTTTAATTTTTTCAAAATTTAATAAAGATATGGGCCATTGCTCATAACCATGTCAAGATTTTGAAAATTTGCTAAAGCCATAATAATAGGTTTTTCTTTTCATTCTTGTTTCTGCTTGAAATGGCCATTTAGAAATGATGTCAAGGTTGCTTTTCAATAATTTGGACCTGCTCTATCGATTGGTGAAATAAAAATTGAGCAAAACTGAAAAATAAAAAAAAATCTATTTTTTTATAAGGGTAGGTACCCCCTTTGAATTCTGATTTCAAAATATTCAAACCTCAATTGCTTGGTAACTGTGGAGCAAATTGCATTGAAATTTGCAGTATTTTCAGCTCTTATCAAGCTCTAAAAGATCTGTAATTTAAAATGTTCCCAGGTTTATAGTTTTTGAGAAAATTAAGTTTGATGTTTTTGACAAAATTTAGACTAAAAATAAACTTTGAGACTCAATTACTCAAAAACTTTTCGAACTATCAAATTCAATTTTGCACGGATTCATAGAGAATTTAACGCTCTTTCCAATGATATATAATTTGCTTAAAATTAAATAACGATATGGACAACTGCTCATGACCATGTCAAGATTTTGAAAATTTTCCAAAGCCAAAAATAGGTTTTCTTTTCATTTTTGTTTCTGCTTAAAATGGCCATTTGAAAATGATGTCAGAGATGTTTTCCACTAATTTTGACCCGCTCTATCGATTGGTAAAATAAAAATTGAGCAAAACTGAAAAATAAAAAGAATCGAATTTTTTATAAGGGTAAGGGTACCCCCTTTGAATTCTGATTTCAAAATATTCAAACCTCAATTGCTTGGTATCTGTGGAGCAAATTGCATTGAAATTTTCAGCATTTTCAGCTCTTATCAAGCTCTAAAAGATCTGTAATTTACAATATTCTCAGGTTTATAGTTTTTGAGAAAATTAAGTTTGATGTTTTTGACAAAATTTAGACTAAAAATCAACTTTGAGACTCAATTACTCAAAAACTTTTTGAGCTATCAAACTCAATTTTGCATGAATTTATAGAGAATTTAATGCTCTTTCCAATGGTATATAATTTATTTTAATTTGCTCAAAATTTAATAAAGATACGGGCAATTGCTCATGACCATGTCAAGATTTTGAAAATTTGCTAAAGCCATAATAATAGGTTTTTCTTTTCATTCTTGTTTCTGCTTGAAATGGCCATTTAGAAATGATGTCAAGGTTGCTTTTCAATAATTTGGACCTGCTCTATCGATTGGTGAAATAAAAATTGAGCAAAACTGAAAAATAAAAAAAATCGAATTTTTTATAAGGGTAAGGGTACCCCCTTTGAATTCTGATTTCAAAATATTCAAACCCCAATTACTCGGTAACTGGTAAATGGAGCAAATTACATTGAAATTTTCAGCTCTTATCAAGCTCTAATAAAAGATCTGTAATTTTTTACAATGTTCCCAGGTTTATAGTTTTTGAGAAAATTAAGCTTGATGTTTTTGACAATATTTAGACTAAAAATCAACTTTGAGACTCAATTACTCAAAAACTTTTTGAGCTATCAAACTCAATTTTGCATGAATTTATAGAGAATTTAATGCTCTTTCCAATGGTATATAATTTATTTTAATTTGCTCAAAATTTAATAAAGATACGGGCAATTGCTCATGACCATGTCAAGATTTTGAAAATTTGCTAAAGCCATAATAATAGGTTTTTCTTTTCATTCTTGTTTCTGCTTGAAATGGCCATTTAGAAATGATGTCAAGGTTGCTTTTCAATAATTTGGACCTGCTCTATCGATTGGTGAAATAAAAATTGAGCAAAACTGAAAAATAAAAAAAATCGAATTTTTTATAAGGGTAAGGGTACCCCCTTTGAATTCTGATTTCAAAATATTCAAACCCCAATTACTCGGTAACTGGTAAATGGAGCAAATTACATTGAAATTTTCAGCTCTTATCAAGCTCTAATAAAAGATCTGTAATTTTTTACAATGTTCCCAGGTTTATAGTTTTTGAGAAAATTAAGCTTGATGTTTTTGACAATATTTAGACTAAAAATCAACTTTGAGACTCAATTACTCAAAAACTTTTTGAGCTATCAAACTCAATTTTGCATGAATTTATAGAGAATTTAATGCTCTTTCCAATGGTATATAATTTATTTTAATTTGCTCAAAATTTAATAAAGATACGGGCAATTGCTCATGACCATGTCAAGATTTTGAAAATTTGCTAAAGCCATAATAATAGGTTTTTCTTTTCATTCTTGTTTCTGCTTGAACTGGCCATTTAGAAATGAGGTCAGGGTTGTTTTCCAATAATTTGGACCTGCTCTATCGATTGGTAAAATAAAAATTGAGCAAAACTGAAAAATAAAAAGAATCGAATTTTTTATAAGGGTAAGGGTACCCCCTTTGAATTCTGATTTCAAAATATTCAAACCTCAATTGCTTGGTATCTGTGGAGCAAATTGCATTGAAATTTTCAGCATTTTCAGCTCTTATCAAGCTCTAAAAGATCTGTAATTTACAATATTCTCAGGTTTATAGTTTTTGAGAAAATTAAGTTTGATGTTTTTGACAAAATTTAGACTAAAAATCAACTTTGAGACTCAATTACTCAAAAACTTTTTGAGCTATCAAACTCAATTTTGCATGAATTTATAGAGAATTTAATGCTCTTTCCAATGGTATATAATTTATTTTAATTTGCTCAAAATTTAATAAAGATACGGGCAATTGCTCATGACCATGTCAAGATTTTGAAAATTTGCTAAAGCCATAATAATAGGTTTTTCTTTTCATTCTTGTTTCTGCTTGAACTGGCCATTTAGAAATGAGGTCAGGGTTGTTTTCCAATAATTTGGACCTGCTCTATCGATTGGTAAAATAAAAATTGAGCAAAACTGAAAAATAAAAAAAAATCGAATTTTTTTATAAGGGTAAGGGTACCCCCTTTGAATTCTGATTTCAAAATATTCAAACCTCAATTGCTTGGTAACTGTGGAGCAAATTGCATTGAAATTTGCAGCATTTTCAGCTCTTATCAAGCTCTAAAAGATCTGTAATTTACAATATTCTCAGGTTTATAGTTTTTGAGAAAATTAAATTTGATGTTTTTGACAAAATTTAGACTAAAAATCAACTTTGAGACTCAATTACTCAAAAACTTTTTGAGCTATCAAACTCAATTTTGCATGAATTTATAGAGAATTTAATGCTCTTTCCAATGGTATATAATTTATTTTAATTTGCTCAAAATTTAATAAAGATATGGGCCATTGCTCATGACCATGTCAAGATTTTGAAAATTTTCCAAAGCCAAAAATAGGTTTTCTTTTCATTTTTGTTTCTGCTTAAAATGGCCATTTGAAAATGATGTCAGAGATGTTTTCCACTAATTTTGACCCGCTCTATCGATTGGTGAAGTTAAAATTGAGCAAAACTAGAAAATCCCTGCTATTCATTAATGAATAATTAACATCAATTTCACCAGGAATAAAATAATTGAATTACCTAAACCAAAAATAGCATTGCACGCAACTTCAACGTCAGAATCGTGAGAATATTTAGTCAAAACATCCATTATCAACAATTGTGGATTAGACACGGACAATAGAGCTATAGCCAAAGGTACAGTTCTCTTCACAGAGGGGTCTCCGTAACGTCCAATATTCCCAAAAACTCTTTGAATCATTTCCATGCCGATTTCCTCACCAATAGACACTACAGCCACAGCTAAAGTAGCTACTGCTTGTCCCATGGTCCAATCCCAATCTCGCTCTTTTCTTCTTTCTTTTTTAGCCTTGGTGGGTTTTGGTCCAGATTCCTTAGGCTTAGCATCTTTATTTGCAGGATTTTCAAATTTATCTCCCACAATCGCTAGTAATTCTTGCACTATCAACACGTCTCCTGTGCCAGCATAAGAGCACATCAATAACAACATTTGTGCGACCGTTTTGAAAGGTTCAGCAAAAACTTCCATAGCATTAGTTGGCACCTCAATATTTTCTCTGGCTCCGTAATAACAAAGAGCCACTCCCAAAGCTGTTAGAGTCATGTGAAACGATTTAAAACGATCCGGTTTTTCAGAGTTCAACTCAATCATTACATTTAAAATTGAGGCAGGCACTTCAGTTTCGGGTTTTCCCAAGGAAACCAAGCCACAAGCTACACTGGCTATGCCTAATATTTCCACAGATGTTGCAGTATTTAGGAGCGGCAATAATAAGCTCAATATGTCACTTCTTTGGCTTCCTGCATAAGCTAATCCTAAGCCTAAAATAGAGCCAACTTGCAAAACTTCATTATCATTTTTAGTATAATCCCCCAAAAGGGCTAAAGCAGGATCGCATTCGTTGCGCACCCTACAATTAACAATTCCCAAAGCCAAAAGCGCTCCAGACGTAATATAATCATCACTGGTATACAAATATTTGTCGATCGGAGTCAAACCTCCATCAACGTCCCACAAGTAAATCAGGCCTAAAGAGGCAACCGCGCTCAACATTCCACGATCCTTGTTTTTGTATATCCACTCGAGGCCCTTTTCACAAGATAAAAGCTTGTCGCAGCCGAATCCGACATTCACAAACCCATTGACGAATGAAGATGCCAAATTTTGCCTGGCACTATCAAAATTACCGCCTAGGATTTGTAGCCTGCCAGGAACTGGTTCTAGCCAGGTTTTGAAAACGTCTTCGGGAAGTTTGGGTTCCATGACGTCCAACTGAAATTTGTTTTATAATATTTAAATTTTCTGTTGAATTAAGATTGTTCTTACCTCTCTTGCCAGAGCTATAAAGTAGGTGTTTAGTAAACTGTTGCTAAGAATAACATTAAGTCCTTCGAAGTCTGCAACATCTGAGTCTAGTTCAACTGGAAACAAGTGTCTGGCGCATATGAATGCTAGCTGATACAGAATTAGCCTAAAAATTTTTGTTTTTTTGAACAACAACCATAATGGTACATATGTATCAATTACTTGTCTTTGCAGCTTGAAAAAACATTCAGGACCATTTCTGAGTTGTTCAATTGCAAACCCACTATAAGAGCTCTGGAATGTTCTCCAAATTTTAAATATTGATCGTATATTAATTTCATAATTTTTCCTCTTTCAGTATCGTCTACGTATTTGGCACAGGAAACGAGATAATAACACATTCTAGAAAATATTAATATTTATGACCATACTGAGCCTGCCTCAGGTTACTAGACACATTTTCTTTTTGTGTCTAGTAGTTTGTTTATTGTCCATTCTTGCCTGCTATAGGTGTTTTCAGCAATATACTGAGGCAATAGATTGAGCTGATCAATTTCCATCAGCAAATCGCATGCCTGTATTTCAGCATGATGATTACAATTGAAGCGGATTATGTCGTTAATCAGTGGCAATAGGATTTTGTCGCCGACTTCGCAATGCACCAGACCCCATTGTTGCACTATCTCGGATTCCAATTGGCGGATGTATTCGTGACCCCAGTCTCCGATGTTCTTCATTGTACCTATAAATTTCCATTTAGATTGTTTAAAGGCATTTCAAAATACTCACCCATTACGCAGTATTTTAAACATTCTCGTTGCTTTCTGGCTTCCTCGCCTCCAGCAGTACCCATGGCTAGTACCGAAATTACATCGGCTAGTGTTGATTTTGGATTACCTTTCGACATATTTTTGTGCGTTAATTTTAGCACGTTGTAATAGGGTGCTAAGTATTTTAAGGGTTTCGGTACTGAAGTCATTGAAGTTGTCGAAGTACGTATCAAGTATTTCAACATTTCAAGAGCTGGCGGTATAAGTTTCGGGTCTGAACCCTGAAATCCAAAAATTCTGTAGAAAACGGTTTAAGTTGGAAAGCTTACCACTAACAGTTATTTTGTCTACCAACAGCTTGAGTTCGTTTTGTAAATCTTTGTCTTCTTCGAACTAAAATGGATTAGGGAGTTGAAAAAATACAAAAAAGCAATAGTTTTCCTAATCTATACCTCTTCTTTCATAGCTAAATTCCGTGAAACGTTACTTGCAGCCATAATTCAATATTTTCTTGGTACCTCTTATTGAATGATTTGTACCAACATCAAAAATTATCAAATTATATAAATATGTTAAAATAATTTTTACAGTTGCGGCACCCCCTTCAAAGTCAAAAGTAATCAAAACTGGTGGTTTTTCATAATTTACCAGTGGAAACTGCAGTTTTACCAACCAAACAACAAATCATTCTGGTTCGTTTTTGAACCAAACAAAAATAAAACTAAAAAAAAATTTCAATTTTGAAGAAATTTTATTTTTAATATTTACAGGCAATTTTTCCTAATGAAAAATGAGACATTTCCTTTTAAAGTACATAAAGATTATATGGACAATAATTATTTATTGTGCACATGCAACAAAGCAAGCGAAAAGGGCTATTAGATTATAATTTATCATGTTTCATTCACCATTCAAATTCAAGCGACAATTATTTTGCAAAAATAAAAAAATAAATATTTTCTATTGAAAAACGCATTTTTATTTTGAATATCTAAGTCAGGCAAAAAACACACTGTTATTATTTATTTAAAGAGTATTTAGTAATATTTCTTAAACATTATAACAAATCTTTATATACATATATCCTGGATATTAACAAAAAAAAAAACAAATAATATAGGGATGTTTCATTCACTGGACACGCTGGGATAGATTTTTAGCTGTGCTATATTATATAAATATTAGATAAATGGCCTATATTGATTTTTATGTGTTACAGAGAGGGACGATTTTGACCTGGAATGTTTTAAAAGCCCTCAAGATTATTTTAAAAATTCCTACAAGACTAAGAAATTGCGCTGGAAGCATCTATACTAATTTAATTTAAAAATGTATCAGACCAGTTGCCACATAAAGAAATGATACATGCAACTATGTTATAGGGGGCCTAATAGAAACACACTGTTTTTGAATAAAATTTTCAACTTAAAAGTAACTAAGAAAATAATTTACTATGCACAGAAAAAGTAAGTGGTAGTGACTGCCATAAAAAATCACTTCTCTCTCTTCCTTTTATCACTAACACCTGCATGGTACTGCTTCAATTTTTTACCAATTGCCAATTGCTTCTTAACGACATTCCCACACTTTAACTGTCTGATCCACGCCACCGGAAATCACGTACGGGTGTGACTTATGAAAATCTGCAAAAATGAAAATTAAATTAAAAATATAAGCGAGTATTATGGTGGTTTTTGACTTACCTACGGATGTGCAGAAGTGTTTGTGAGCTTCTAAAGTTTTCATGTTGCGCTTATTCCTCAGATCCCAAACTCGGAGGGTTTTGTCGTCGCTAGCTGAGACTAGGTACTTGCCGCCCGGATGAAAAACAACGCCTCGCACCCAGTTATCGTGAGCGGTGAGGAGGAACAAGGCGATACCAGCACCAACATCCCATATTCTGGAAATTCAATAGGGTTAATTTCATTAATTTCCCATTTTGTTATTTTACAGTGGAACAGTTTGAAATTTCAGTATGATGAGCTCGTGACTTGCCTCTTTTTCTCCTGAAAATTTCATAATTTTTCCTCTAGTAGTTTTTCAGAAAAAAAATTAAATGCATGATGGTATTGAGGGGTGGTTAACTGGTGAAAATTTGTATAAAAGTTGGCATAGGCGCAACTAGGGGGGTGCTTGGGAGTACTAAGCACCCCTAAAGTAAAAATTAGCACTCCCATTCGGCATCCCACCATAGCACTACCTACAGCGGCACTACCTAACACTAATATAAAAAATTAGTGCAACCAGATTATTTATTTTTGTTGCATTTTTTGCACTTACTTACGTCATCGATGACGTCATAATTTAGAAAATAGCTATTTACCTAACAAGTGCGGAAAATGATTTTTTTCCGCACGCGGCTGCCGTTCACCAAACGACGCGTAGCACATGGGAGAGTTCAGACCAAAATCAGTTCTGTGATAATCAACAAAAAATAAATTGTTATGTCTGAGGTTTCTATTTGGAATGCGAAACTTAATTTGTTCTAGAAGCTGAGGACAGTCTATATTAAAATTTAGAAGATCAAAAATGAAGCGCATTCCAATTTTCAACCTTCGAAGCTCAAGAGAGTCCAAATTTAGCATATTGCGTATGTAGTCATATTCATGATCAAAAATTTGAACCCCCATGCGAAAAGCACAAAAACGCAAAAACCTGCTCTGAACTCTCTCTATTGAAACCTTATAAATTTGGTGATAAGATGACCACACTATACAGTTACACTCTAACTTTGACCTTACTAAACTAGAATACACACACTTGGCAGAGGACACTGATAAATTCTTGCAATTCCTGATGACAAAACCTAACAACTTGGAGGACTGTACTATCAAATTATTTATATGGTCAACAAATTTGAGCTCTTGATCGAAAATTACACCAAGATCTTTTACTTTGGATGTATAACTGATTTGCCTGTCTTTAATATAATAAAGTGAATTTACCTTTTTATTGAATCTGAAAAAACTAATTGTAAAACACTTATCAACATTGAGCTTCAATTTATTGATGTCACACCAAGCAACAAGACGATTTAAGTCTTCCTGTAATAAATTTGCGTCATACATGCTGTTAATGACTCGAAAAATTTTAAAGTCATCAGCAAATGCTGCAGGTACACTATGCAAAAAGTGTTTTGTGATATCATTGACGAATATGTTAAAAAGTAATGGCGAGCAGTGTCCCCCCTGGGGCACCCCAGATGTGGCCATAATATTCTCAGATAGGAATGAACCTATTTTTACTTTTTGAACTCGACCAGTGAAGGAACTACGGAACCACTTTACTATATCCAGGTGAAAACCAAATTTATATAACTTATCAAACAATAAACCATGATCCGAGACTGTCGAAGGTCTTAGAAAAGTCAGTATATATAGCATCAACTTGTTTCTTGTTTTCCAAGGCCCTCAGCAGTGATGACTGGTATGAAACCAAGTTTGTGGTAGTGGATCTGCCTTTGGTAAATCCATGCTGAGCCTCATCTAACAGCCCCCGGCAGGCCCATGTCAATTGTTTGCATATCAATTCATCCAGCAATTTTGGAATCACAGATTGGGTACAAATACTTCTATAATTTTTAATGTTATGCTTATCGCCAGTTTTAAAAATTGGGAACAAGTAGCTATTTTTCCATACATCTGGATATTCTGAACTATTAAGAGAGAGATTGAACAGTATAGTAATAGGCGTGGTTAATGTGCAAACACACCTCTTCAATAGCAACTCTGGAACTCCATCAGGCCCTACTGTGACTCTGTCAGAGAGGCTCGCTATTTCCCCAAAAATGGCCTCCTTAGTAAATGAGTGCCAAGTGATATTGTTGTTTGGATAACAATTTTCTGTTTTAGGAAGACTGAACGATGAACTTGGTGAGTAAACTGTTGAAAAGTACTCCCCAAAAGCACTAGCTATGCCTTGCCCCTCACTCAACACCTGATCATCATAAACCATTTTTGAAGGCAAATCGTATGTTCCTTTCTGGGCTCTAATAAATTTCCAAAAATATTTAGGGTTTGCCTTACAGCTGTCATTTACAACTCCCATGTACTGGGTTCTCATTTGATTAGAGAGCAACTTGCATTGAGACCTAAGAAGAGAGAACTCTTGATAGTTAACATCAGTCATATCATTCATATATTTTTTGTGGGCATGTCAGTTGTTTAAGCTCAGGCGAGAACCATTTTGGAAAGGTATTAGTTTTTGATTTTTTTAAAGGTACGTAATTTACAATGGCCTCGTTAATGATCTCATAAAAGATAGAAGTTGCCCTATTAATATTTTTGTTTGCTAAAATTTCTACCCATTGTATAGAAGCTAAAAAATTGTTTAAACCTACATAATTACAATTTTTGAAATCATAGTAGAAATTATCAACAACTAACTTTTTATCAGGAGCTTCCTTAGTCATAACCTTACAGTCATAAGAAATGTGGTGATAACTGTTATCAAATATCGGATCACTTGCCTTATTAACCACTAAATTACCAATATTAGTAAAAGCCAGGTCCAAGAAAACACCTCTGTCATTTGGAATAGTATTCACCTGGAACAGCTTCAAAAACCCAAAAGATGCAGCAACAGTCAGTGCATTTGAATTTGCAAGGCACTCCACATTAACACCATAATCATCATTCACCCACACTGCCTCGGGTAAGTTATAGTCACCAAAGAGCAGTAATTTACTGTTTGGATAGCGCTGTAATATAGGTTGGATAGACCTGCAGTGCATATCATAGATGTCATTATGTTGATTGGGAGGAATATATACGCCGCCAATTATAAAACATTCTGACCCAATATTAAATACAATAAACAGCTGTTCAATTTTATTTTGGCGCACTGGCACAATGGATGCTGATAAGTATTTTCTAGCATATATGAGGACTCCCCCACCCCTACTTTTCATGCTGGTTTCACTAGATCTATCAAAACGGAAGCTATTATATTTATCACATTGTATTTCACCATCAGTAATACTATCACAGAGATTACTTTCTATTATTACCAATATATCGTAATCCGAACAGTTCAACATATTAGTGAGGTCTTCAATCTTTGTGTGAAGACCTCCTGTGTTCATATAGAATACAGTTAATGGGGTGCAGGGGTGTTGTTTGGATCAGGTCTAGTACCTGTTGTTTGGGCTTTAATTTCAATAATAGGAAACCCATTTCTGTATTTCAGAGCGACTGATTCGCCTTTTTTTACACGATCCTGGTATTCATCCCTAATCTTCTTATGAGTCTCCTGTTGCAATTTCGTCAAATCCTTAGAAATCCTGATCTTGGTCGAACCAAGCTTGTTGCCATTTTTGAGGATGCTGTACACAACATCTGGACAGGTAAAGACAACTTTTAGAGGCCTTATTTTATCATCTGCTAATCTGCCAATACGCACCATCTTCAATATTTTTTGATTTTCTTCAGCTAAACCCAAAGATGACAGAAGATTCTGGACATGCTTACTGTCATTTTCAATTCGTTGCTGAAGAACTGCGGACTTAGACTGCGGAATATTGAAAATTATAATATTATTGGCTCTTCTAGCACGCTCGTTAACCTCACTTGTGAGATACTCTATATCTTGGGTTGGGGATTGCACATTTGCTTCATAAGTACTCATTCTTAACTTAAGAGCCTCCACTTCTGTATTCAATGAAGTATTATCTTCACGTAGCTGTTTCACATCAGTTGCTAAGCTCTGGATTGCCTTTTTTTGTTCTTTGATACACTCAGCGACCGTTTGAGAAGATTTCTTGATCTCAGTCGTGTCCTTCTCGATCCCTTTCTTGAAGGGGCCTAGGAACTCAGTTAATAAATCCTTGAAGATTGCTCTAATTTTCTTTTGATCTAAGTTATTGGCCATTTTCGGTTGACAACAGTTAACGCTTTCCTGTTGGTTTTCCTGGAGGTAAGTAGCCTTAGCTTGTCTTGCACAGCTGGGATGGAACGCCGAGCAACAGTTTTCACAGTCAAGCGAGGTTTTTACGCCTTTTTTACAATGTTTGCAAATTTTCTCGTTCATAACATAACCTCACATTTGATTTATTTGATTTCTTGCAGAAATAAACATTTCAAGCAGAAAATACTTGCAAAATCCACTAAAACGGTAACAATCGTGCTGCTATTTATCAGAATTAACAATTTTAGATATATAATGACCAAGATTTTTCGGAATTTTACTCAATTTCCAAATGTAAACAACCTAGCCGTCAGCTGGTTAACCTAACCTGTGACTTTTTCAAGTAAAATAAGGGAAAACTCATCCTCTCACATTTCAATTAATTTCTGGAAAACTAATGAAGCAAAACTTGTGAAATTTTTCCAGGAGAAGGAAGAAAATGAGGCGCTCATTATAGCAAAATTTCAAAATTTTCTAGTGAAAAATCACTCCAAAGAGAAAAATCACTCCAAAGAAAGTCGAGAGGAAAGTTCTGGAAAATTGACTTTTTTAAACAAAATTCATCCTTTCACATTTCAATTTTTTTCTGGAAAACTGGCAAAGCACAAATTGTGGAATTTTTCCAGAGGAAAGTGAGGAACTCAATATAAGAAAATTTAAAAATTTTCTAATGAAAATTGACTCCATAAAAAATTCTGGAAAATTGAGTTATTTAAGTATAATTAAGAAAAATTCACCCTTTCGCATTTAAATTTTTTTTTGGAAAACTGGCGAAGGGAAAATTTTGAACATTTTCCAGGAAAAAGAGAAAAGTGAGGAGCTCATTATGGAGAAATTTCGAAATTTTCCAGTGAAAAATCACTCCAGGAAAAATTCATAGAAAATTTACTTATTTAGGCAAAATTAAGGAAAATTCACCCTCTTACATTTTAATTTTTTTCTGGAAAACTGACAACAGGAAAATTTTTAAACTTTTACAGGAGAAAGAGGAAAGTGAGAAGCTCATTAGAGGAAAATTTCAAAATATTCCAGTGAAAAATCACTCCAGGAGAAATTTATTTATATATTTTCGGATAACTGAATAAAATCTATTCTAAGTTAAAAAATGTATTACAAAACAATGACAAGGTGCTCTATGAATTAATCTATGACTTAACTTTTTCTCTAATTTATGACGTCATCGATGACGTCAGTAAAAACTTTCGTGCCGTGTAATGAATTATATGTTTGTTTGAAATTTCAGACATAAAAAAACCTATTTTCCAAAAAAAAAGGCAAATGATGACGTAAGTACAAACCCTAGTAAAACTAACTTTTTTCTACGCGTCTCATTTCCTTTTATCAAACCCCATCAAAAAAAAAATAATAAATAATGGTGCTGCAGCACCCCTCAAATTTGGAGCCTAGTTGCGCTTATGAAAGTTGGTCAAAATCACAGAAAATCTCATAGAATCTACTCAAAATCCCTAAGAAAATTTAACAAAATCCCACAAAATCTTTTGAAATCGCATAAAATCCTACAAAATCTCACAAAATTTTATTGAAACTAAAAAAATCCCACAAAATCTTATAGAATCCCAAAAATCCGTTAAAATCTTTAAAAATCCTTCAGAATCTCTAAAAACCTCATAATTTTATTTCTGAGCTGCAGATCAACTTCAAATCTGTATTGTTTGATGAAAACATCCTAGTCAATAAATCCTGAAAGTCTGAAATCAATCTGAGGCTTCGAAGTATTTTTCAGGATTTTTCAAAGGTGATTTAACGTCAGTTTTCCAACTTTTTTGGTATTAAGTTACAAAAAAACCTCATAATTTTAGTATAATAAGCTCCTAACTTTCCCGAAAGTTTTACAATTTTTCCACAAGTAATTTTCCAGAAAAATATCAAAATGTATGACAAGCGTGTGCATCCTACCTAATCGTTTTATCTCTGGAACCAGAAGCAAGGAAAGGACCCATGTGGGCGCCTTTCTTATTGTCGGCGCCCGCCGCTTCATTGATGGCGCTGGCTGCGGCATCAGGAGCCCACGCAATACATTCTACCACGTGTTCGTGGGCGCGCAGCTCCATTCTACACTCCTTTGAGGCCGTAGTCCAAATCCTGACTGTTTGATCGCTAGAACAACTGGCCAATAGGCTGCCGTCGGGCGATGGTCGAACCATTCGTACCTAAAAATTGTTTGTATTATAACAAAAATTAGTATAATTAAAAACAATGCATAAATGTTAGACAAACTACCACACACTATATTATATTAATATAAAACAGTTCAGCCATATAGTTTTGTCTGTAATAATTTGGCAAGTTACCACACTGACAATACTTTTAAGACAGTAATCAGCTCAAGCCCTTGCACAAAAAAACCAAGCTCAAAACCAAAACTTATATTTACCCATTCTCTGTGTCCGGTATAAGTTCTGACGCAATAGCCCGTTGACACTTCCCACATCTTAATAGTCTTGTCTCTGCTGCAAGAGATGACGAAATCGCCGGTAGGCATAAACGCCACACTGGAAACGGTGTGATCGTGGCCCAACATGGTGCGGATGCACTCGAAACTTTGCTGAAAGTCCCACAGCTTGATGCTCATGTCTGAGCTGCAGGATACCTACAAAAACAACCACTTAATGTAAATAAGAAATCCAATGGTGATTCTCACCAGTAACTTTCCGGTAGAATCGAAAGAGATGTCTTGTATGGGGTCTGTGTGACCCTTGAGCGTCCGTTCGTATTCCCCTGTTTCAAAGTCCCAGACTTTCATGCTGGCGTCCTCGCTAGCTGAGACCATGAGGCTGAACACTGGATGAAATATGACACGAGTGACTGGTGCTCTATGACCTGCAATGTTCATAAAAAAAAACTCTTTTGTCATAATCTAAATATAAATAAATATTATCTTATGTAACTGCAGGGAAAAAAAAATCAGATAAATATTTGATGACTCTCAAGTACCTGCTTGGGATTTGTTTATTTAGTTTTGCTATGAAGACCAAGAAAACCTAAACAAACAAAGCCATACTTATGTTAGACTTTTTGTGGGGGAGTTTGAGTTTAGATATCATCCCAACAACAAAAATTCAATTAAAATATTTTGATAAATCCTGACCTTTTACATGTAATCAGTAGGTATCGCCTCTTGCAATATTGGAATTAAAATTGATTACATTATTAATTATTGTGGAATAAAATACTCTACTGCATACATACAAAAAATAATTAAAAAAGCTTCTTTTTGAAGCATCAATGTACATTTGGACATTATTCAGGAATAAGTTTTGTTTGATGTTTTAATATGTGATAATTTCTTACACTTACCAGTCAAACAAAATTTTTCCGGAGGCCTAGGAATCCATTCGGCAGGGGTGCGTTTGTTTCGCGAAGGCGCTCCATCAATGTACTCTTTTTCGGCCTGGTTGAGCTTTGATTCCAGCTCCATTACTTTTCTCTGGAGACGTATAACGGAGGTCCATTTTTTCTCTAAAAGTCCTCCAAACTTTCTTTCCACCTCGCCAGGCATGTCGGCTTCCTTTTTGAAAGCATCTAGGGCTTCGGAGTAACCGCTACTGCTTAGATAATCAGCGATGGCTTTGTTACTGAAAAAGACAAATTATTATTAATTGTCTATCAAAGTTTAATATTAGAATTATATTGGAAACAGTTACTCTTCTGCACAAGAAATACAAAAGCTTCCAGTCTAGTCAGGTGTATCAAACTAGGAATCAAAATAACATACCATTACCCATTCCAAAATATAGAATGACACAAAACTCAATTATATACTGCAGTATAAAAATTTATAATAAGCTCCCTGCTGATCTTAAAAACATTCAGTCGGAAAAATTATTTAGGGCAAAGGTCAAAGAGATGCTCCTGAGAAAGGCTTACTATAATCTGTCAGAGTTTTTTGACGATGATTATTTGTAGATGTTGTTTTACATATTTGATGTTTACTGTTTTACTACCTGTTTAAGTTTTTTATTTTTTTTTATGTTCTTTTTACCATCTACTTTTGCTATTTGTTATAATTGGCTGCAATATTTGCATATAAACCACTTTGCACCTCCCTCATGTAAACTTTTTAAATTTTATGTTGATTTTATTTATTTTCTGTTAGTTTGTTCAAGATCTGAGTTTGTTTTTAATTGTCTTTTTGCGCCGATTGTTAATTGTTTTTGGCTACTTAGTTGTTTGTTATTTTTTTTACTGTTCATTTTAGTTTCTAACTTAGGCTTAAGATTTAGGTACTATTTAGATTATAAGTACTGCTTTGTCTATGGAACTAACTGTTTTTATCTGACAATAAAGCATATTTGATTTGATTTGATTGATTTGAAAATATTGCAACAGTTTATTTTTTGTCTCGTGACTTTTTTTTTTTTTTTTCTTTTTTCCTGTTAAATTATACAAGGTGTCACAAAAGGTTTGTTACAAACTTCTAGGGATGATGGATCTGATAAGAATTAAGTTTTTTTTTTGATAAACATCTGCCCGGAAATGCTTCGGTGTCTAGATACAGGATGTTTGTGAAAAAAAGCCAATTTTTTCACTAATTCTTAGAAATATGTTGGACAAATTTTAAAAAAATTTCATAGTTTGTTGACGTTGACACCTTTATGGGGTATCTTATGCTCAGAGTTAAGCCAGTAATTTCAGGGGCGTGTCAAAGGTTATGTTAGATGGTTTTTTTGCACGAAAAACATTTTCAGCGATTCTTATCCCAGTAGAGGACTACAATCCCTGAAAATTTCAGCTCATTTGCACTTATAGTTCCTAAGATAAAATCGTGTTAAGCAATTTGGGGTGCTTTATCAATTTTACAATTTTTCTGAGTGCCTTTTTTCAAAGATTTCGGCTTAAAATCTGAGAATAATTTAGTGAATGGAGTTTGGGGAATGTTAATTGACCATTAGGATACAAAATCTCAACAAAAAAAAAATGAAATTTGATCGTTTTAGTAAGAAGGAAGCTACCTTATGATTTAGATTTTGGAAAACTTTGGAAGGGCATAACTTTTTTTCTATTACAGATAGAAAGCTGAAATTTTCACTGAATCTTATCTCAATAAAAGGGCTACAATCCCTGAAAATTTCAACTCATTTGCGCTCATAGTTCTTGAGATAAAATCGTATTAAGCAATTTGGGGTGCTTTATCAATTTTTCAATTTTTCTGAGTGTCTTTTTTCATAGATTTCGGCTTAAAATCTGAGAATAATTTAGTGAATGGAGTTTGGCGGATGTTAATTGACCATTAGGATACAAAATCTCATCAAAAAAAAAAAATTGAAATTTTGAACCTTCTCGCAAACTACTGATAAGGGAAAATTGTGAATCTTTCAGGAGAAAAACAGGAAAGTTAGGAGCTTATCATACTAAAATTTCAAAAGTTTCCGGTAAAAAATAACAAAATGGGAAATTAATTAAAATTTAAATTAAACAAAAATGCATGTTACCACTTTGTTCAAATCATTAAAGATTTTTTGAAATTAGTTGATAATCAATGGCATGCCTTTTGGGTTAACGGATACCTACTAGAGCATTTATTTCGCAAAATCCAAAGCAAATTCCAGCTGAAAGTCTGTTCTCACAGAAATCACAAACCAGCCAGAGCGTTTTTGATTGGTGCAAATCGCCAACAAACAGTTTTCTGATTATTTTCAACCAATAAAGTAAGGTCTGACTGCTTTGCAATTTCTGTGAGAACAAACCTTAGAAGTTTTTTTATTTTCATCCCTTGTGAACTGAGACAGTTGGTTTTGCCTGTAACACATTTTCATCTCAATGGTATAAGTACATAGTTTATACAGTTAAACATTATTATAAATAATTCATCAAGGACATAAAATTAAACTTTAAATTATTGTACAAAATATAAGTCAAGGCTTATAAGTCGTATTTACTTGACATTATCATGATTTATTTTTCTGCAAGGAAATTACTTATAAATATTCCTAGAGCTCACGATAATATTGCTAGAATGTCGAAAATATCAATTTTACAATTTTTGTTTGCAATTTATTGACCTCTGTCTACACAAAACCACAACAAATTGCCGGTTATAACACTTTACAGAAGGATTTCGTGGTTGTTTAGATGAGTCATAATAATTGTAATTTTTTTAAATATGTAGTTATATCATAATAGAATGAAAGCTATCATAATACTGACATATTGTTAGTTAATATCATATACCAATCTTTTTTTTTTTTTTTTTGCACTAGACACTTTCTCTTGGAACAAACAAAAAGACTTGATTGCGCGATATATAACGGGGAATTTTGTATATATGTTATTAACTTCAATAAACAGCTGATTGAATAGATTAATTGCCTCGATAACTATTATGAAATTGGCTTTTTAACAGCGAAGTTTTTTTTTTTGTAAATTGAGCACAAGAATTTCTACAGCACGATATTTTCAAATCAAGCTCTATAGGAAGAATGATATATTCAATTCTTGGAATCTTAATCTTCAGTTTCCTTTCAAGACTACCTGATTTGCACAAATAATACATACCAAGCAAAATTGATGGTAATTGTTAAAATAAACAAAATTATATCTAATGTTTACATTAGTATTTTTGAAGATTCATATGCCAACATAATCAATAATATTTATTTCAAAAACCGTATAGCTCATAAATATTAAAAACCACTTATTGAATTGTTAACGGTACCAACTGATTGCATGTCAGATAGAGTGATAGAGAAAAAAAATTAATAAGGTTACGTTTATTTATGTATCAGCGCAATATTCACACTACTTGGCAAGAAATAAATAAATTTCTTCCACCTTTTCCAAGTATCAAAACCGGCCCTGGACAGTACGGTAAAGTGAGCCAGGTCAGGTGTATTTTTTTCTGCCTTTGTAAAATATTTAATGAAGTGAAAGGCACTATAGGACCTAATTTGCTGATTTACATGACACGGCGTCACGACAATCTTGAAGTTTAATTAAACCAACAAACAATCTGGATATGAAAATAATTACTGTGTGAAAACGTCTAGGTACAAAATAAACTTGTCCGCAATGTAAATCATACAATAAAGAAGCCAAACAGGGCCTACCATTAACTATTCTAGTTTTTTTTCTGTACAGTTAAAAAACAATTAAAAGTTGTACCACAAAATGTAGTACTATTTTGTTTATATTAATTGAGTACTGCGTAATAATAACGTTGCGTTTATAGTAATACATAAATGTGGGTAGGACAATATTACCATTTACCATTGAAATAATAATTTAGACTGAAATTCCAACATAAAAAAGTGAATGGCAAGAAGATTGCCTAGTTGTTTGACTTCTTCCTTCACTTTGCGCGTAATGAAGTTACCGCAACGTTGTCAAACCAGAAAAAACTTTGCAATAACAACTTTAGAAGACACTTTTATTGGATGTTTTATAGTATAATTACTTCAATCAATGCTGCGTTGGTTTGATTATTATTGATGATAGCTAAAGCAATTTAGATTTAAATTGAAGAATTCTTATTGGCAAAACTAAAATCTGGCAACATCGTCGTAGATTGACCTTTCAGTTGAATGTTTCCGGTAATACCTCGACTATTAGACCTTAAGAAGGCAATGTTGTCTTCAAATTCTAGTACCACCTTTCATTTAAATATAAATCTAACGTTACAGTTTTTTTTTCTTCGGTAATGGGATCGTGTAATTGGGCGCGGTCCCTTTGGAAGGTGGAATTAATAAATCTTCTCAAGACGTAGTAGATGCTTCAAACCGATAAAATTTCTAAGGAGTAAATGTCAGTCGATTTTTATTTTTTTATCGTTATAGAATCATTCATAATAAATTCTGGATTATTTAGAAAATCGATGGCGTCGCGACGCCTTGGCATTGGCAACGCTTTGGGCACAGAGCAGCTTGTGACGTCGTCCAAAGCTTGGCTGTATTGATTTTCACGAGGGCGAAATTTTCAGGAATTAATGAATGCCTTTCATTCATTCTCTCTCAATATTATTTGATTACAAATATCTATGAGAATCAATTGAAGAGAAATTCACACGCCTCCATAAATGCGTATCATCTCAAGGGTTTTCACTTGTCTCATATTTAACTTGTGAAAGGTATTTCTGATTACAATCTGGCTTGACTTACAAAAGAAATTTCCTATTTCTTTTCAGAAACCTTATTGAGGGAATGATTAATATTTCACTATACAAAATAAAAGGACAGGAATTCCTTTTACCAGATCACTTACTTGGAAATATTCGAGGTATAAAAACCAAAAAAGGGAGCTTTTATTCAACATAGAGTGAAAGTTGAAGTTAAATGCATACAAAAATGTTGATGATGGTACTGAATTGTGCAAGGTATTTTAAATGGTAACTGTGGAATCCTTATTTGTAGTTTGGAAGTTTGTTATGTTTTAAGTGTTAGGATATTTGTTTTCTTGAATTAAATTACTTTGCAGTGCTTAATTTTCTTAAATTGTAAGATTTTGTTGGCATTATGTATGTTCTATTCACTTCTGGAATGAAAATAAGAAGAAAAGATGCTCATCATTCTGGAATTTCAAATTATTTCGATGAGAAATGGCAACATGAGAAAATCTTGGAAATCTACTTAAATTTATTTATTTTTTTTAAATTCACCTTTTGAACTAGAAGCCAGAGAAGAGAATACATAAAACTCATAATAATGAATGGAAGAAATAATAGATCATTTATTAGATGCTTACTATAATTAAATAATAATGCAGGCATAAATTAGAAACTTTCCAACAATTTCCTGTCCTTGTTTTTACAGATATAGCGGAAAACAATGTAAAAATCTTCAATGTAAAAAAATCCCATGACTAGTGTTATGTTTGTTATTGATACTATTAAAAGAAAATTTTTAATTCAAGTGTGAAAAATTAAAAAAACAAACTTCAATAAAATCACTTTCTATTTTGAAATTATTGAGGTGTGTTCAATCAAAAATCACGATATTCAATTGGATTTCATCATTAATAATTCGTGATTAGGTATTTCCTCCAAAAATGCCCCAAAGAATATGAGGCCGGGTTGTTAAACTCTATACCAAAATCGAATACCCCATTAAATCGTGAGGCAATTATTTGCAATCCATTTTTACTATCCACAGAGTAACGGCAGAGCGTGAAATTGGTAATCTCCTGCCTGGGGTTAATCGAATTTTCAGGGCGCGAGCTTGTTTGTGTTCAAAATAAAAATATCCAATTAAGATTGAAGACACTGATCCACGATTAAAGTAATTTGATTAAGTTTTGACAGTATAAAATATCTAATTTGGTGAAACCCCTCCATGGATGGACATTCATTATATAAGAGGGTGCATAAACTTTGCCTTATAAATAAGGTGTGTGTTAATGACATAGGGTAGACTAGAGTAATTATCATGATTAAGTAACTAAAAGGGAAAAAGACACTGCCTTAGTCTAAAGAAAAACATACATTTCCTAACATATCAATTTACAAAAGAGAGACAATGATAAATTACAAGCATACTCATTTTCATTCTCTCAACATGAATCACTATTGCCAATAAAGTTTTTGTTTTACTTTGACCTGTTAAACAGCAAGAGAGAGGTATATTGTGTAACTAATTTCCAGAGATGACTAGGTACAAAATATCCTATTGTACCTTACCATATGGCTTCAAATTGATTGATCTTTGAATTATTACACTGTCATAAGTTTATTTTCAAGATGGTAAACGTACATTGAACTTTGATTATGTAGGTATTTTTAAATGTTATGAAATAATAAAAATACTTACAGCTCCTCTCGCTGGCGTTGAGATAGAACCATTTTCATGATAATGTTCCGAAGCTCACTTTTGGGTAATCCTCTATTTCATCCCAACACCTGAAAATAAATACTTTTTTTTAACAAAGACGGCCTACTTTAAAAATGCACTATGATGGATTCCTGCTGCATTCATTTCTGACTTGCTTATGAAGCCTTACAAAGTTTAGTATTTATTTGTTTTTTTTCAAAAAATTAAGGACATTCTTAGAACATAAATCTCACATTGTTTTGGTTTTTCAGTCATTAAAGGGGCACAAATACAGAAAGGCCGAGATATAGAAGTTGGCTTTGGACTATTGCCAAGATGGGCTTTCTAGGTTTATTTTTTTTTCTTTGAGTCGCTGTTATAAATAGGTCCAATAAGTGCGGCAATCAATTTTAAGTAGGTATTTACACTCCCTGAAAATTTCAACACAGACTTATAGTTCCACAGAATTTTTAATTTTTTTCAATTTTCCTGACATCCTATTTTCAATTTGGAATAAATTATCAATTTTTCAATTTTTCTGAGTGCCTTTTTTCATAGATTTTGGCTTCAAATCTGAGGATTATTTAGTGTATGGAGTTTGGGGTATGTTGATTGACCATTAGGATACAAAATCTCGCCAAAAAAAAAAAATTGAAATTTCATCGTCTTAGTAAAAAGGTACTTTATGATTTAGATTTTGGAAAACTTTGAAAGGTCATAACTTTTTTCTATTATAGATAGAAAGCTGAAACTTTCACTGAATTTTATCCCATTCAAGGAACTACAATCCCTGACAATTTCAGCTCATTTGCACTTATAGTTCCTGAGATAAAATCGTGTTAAGCAATTTGAGGTGATTTATGATCTTTCAATTTTTCTGAGTGCCTTTTTCATAGATTTCAGCTTCAAATCAGAATAATTTATGAGTATGGAGTTTGGAGTATATTGATTGACCATTTGGACACAAAATTTCGACAAAAAAAATTTGAAATTTCATCGTTTTAGTAAGAAGGTACTTACCTTATGATTTAAATTTTGTAAAACTTTCGTAGGGCATAACTTTTCTTCTATTATAGATAGAAAGCTGAAATTTTCACTGAAATTTATCTCAATAAAGGGACTACAATGCCTCAAAATTTCAGCGCATTTACACCCTTAGTTCCTGAGATAAAATCGTGTTAAGCAATTTGGGGTTATTTATCAATTTTCCAATTTTTTTGAGTGCTTTTTTTTCATAGATTTTGGCTTCAAATCTGAGAATAATTTAGTGTATGGAGTTTGGGGGATGGTAATTGACCATTAGGCTACCAAATCTCAACAAAAAAAAAATTGAAATTTTATCGTTTTAGTAAGAAGGTAGCTACCTCGGTAGCTACCTTATGATTTAGATTTTGGAAAACTTTGGAAGGGCATAACTTTTTTACAAGCTTTTATTTAACTTCACCTGTATGTATGTATGTATGTATGTGGGTATGTATGTATGTAATCAAATCTTGCAACTCATTTTTGAAGAACTTCCAAACATCCGATTGACTTCAAATTTCGCATAGCGTCTTAGTTCCGATGACAATACAATAATATGGTTTCATCGGGTACCTACCCCCCCCCTAACGTGGGGGGGGGGTGAAGAGGGGGTAAAACTTTAGTTTGTCCGATTTCAACCAAAATTGGTATCTGGGGGTTTTTGAGGATGAGAATTACGAATTTTTGATCAGATTACAAAAATTCAATATGGCGGATTCAAAATGGACGATTTAATGTCAAGTTTTTCTGATTACTTTCAACTGACTTCCACGTATCCGATTGACTTCAAATTTCGCATACCGTTATAGTTCCGATGACAATCCAATAATGTGGTATCACTGACTGCCTACCTCCCCCCTAACGTGGAGGGCGGAGAGGGGGTAAAATTTTAGTTTGTCGGATTTCCACCAAAATTGGTATCTGGGGGTTTTTGAGGATGAGGATTACGACGGTTACGGTTTATCGCTCTGATAGAAGCAGTCTGAACAGTACTAAAAGCCGTGGAGGTGGGGTCCTTTTGGCAGTAAATAATTGCCTAAAATCTCATCGCCTGTCAATTGGTGAAGCATCGGTCGAGGAAACGTGGGTGTCTGTTACGCTGGGTGACATGGTCTTCTGTATTGGCTGTGTCTACATTCCACCTACCATGGATGTGCTCCATTATGAAAACCATTTGAAATCAGTTGCTGGTGCCTGTGAAATGTTTGATAATGTGCTTGTTCTTGGAGATTATAATCTTTCCCAAATAACGTGGTCCACTAGTGAGGATCTCTCGGGTTTATTACCTGGAAATGTAAGGACAACTAAGGAAATATTGTTATGTGATAGTACTGCTTCTCTTAATCTGTCTCAATACAATGGGGTGGCTAACGATCATGGTTCAATCCTGGATCTATGTTTTGCCAACTTTGGGCCTATTTCACTTGTAACATCTGACGGTCTGGTGGGATGTGATCGTTATCACCCAGCTCTAGAGTTTTCCATACCTGTTGTTAAAGCTAAATTTCTGAAGCCTCTTAATTATTTTTCTTATGACTTTAAAAATGCCAATTTTGATTTGGTTAATGAATATTTTCTTTCCTTTGATTGGCGATCCATTATGATGGACGATCTAAACGAAACTGTTAAGAGCTTTTACTTGGTACTGTTCGACTGCTTTAATATGTTTGTTCCAATAAAGGCACATTCTTACAGCGAGAAATTTCCTATCTGGTTCTCTAACGAATTGAAAAATCTGATTTTTCAAAAGAAAATTGCTCACAGACGATTCAAGCGGTCGAATAGAGGTTTGGATTACTTTGCATTTAGTACACTTCGGCGAGATTGTAAAAACCTCACCAAAGAGTGCTATAAATTATACATAAGTGATACTGAAAGAGCCATAGGCACCAATATGAAAATTTTTTGGAACTTTATTCACTCCCAATCTAATCAGGGTACTATTCCTAACGAAATGTTTCTTGCCTCAGAAAAGGCGTCCAACGGTGTTGACATAGCTAATCTTTTTGCTGTCTATTTCTCCTCCGTCTATAACCCTCAGAGAAATTCCGACGCTGGAACCTTTGCTGATCGATTTGAGAATGTTTCAAGCATTGTCATAGATCCAACAGATATTGAGAGGGCTTTAACGCAATTGGACATCAACAAGTCTGCAGGACCTGATGGTATTCCCAACAAAGTACTAAAATCTTGTTCTAACACTTTGTATCTTCCTCTGTTTAATATTTTCAACAAATCATTATCTTCTGGAATTTTTCCAGAAATGTGGAAGCTCTCCTACGTTTGTCCTATTTACAAGTCAGGCAGCAAAAATGATGTAATAAATTACAGACCCATCAGCATTCTGTCTGCGATTCCAAAATTATTTGAGCAGTGCGTGGAAGGAATTCTTTCAAAAATATTTCATCAGATTGTGATCAGTCAACAGCACGGTTTTACAGCCGGTAGATCCGTTGAGACGAACCTGTTTCTCTTTACAACATTCATAAATTCATCATTTGCTAATAATGCAGAAACTCATGCAATATATACTGACTTCAGTAAAGCCTTTGATAAGGTAAATCACAACATCCTTCTTTCAAAGCTTTCAAGTTTCGGCGTTTCTGGACATTTGTTTTCATGGATGAAATCATACCTTACTAACAGAAAGCAACAAGTCAAGATCGATGGCTATCTTTCTTCTCTTTTCCATGCATCCTCTGGGGTACCCCAAGGTCTTCACTTGGGCCCCCTTCTATTCAGCTTATTTATCAACGATTTAGGATCGTTGCTCTCGTCAAATTTTTTACTTTTTGCTGATGACTTGAAGTTGTATCGTCAGGTGACGTCAACTCAAGACATACTTATTTTGCAAAATGATCTTAACATCGTTCACGATTGGTGTCAGCTTAATTACATGTCCCTCAACATTGATAAGTGCTGTTGTATAAGATTCAGTAGACGCACCCATAGTGTTCCCTTGCAGTATTACTTAAACAATGTTCGCTTGTCTGAAGTTTCTATCATTAAAGATCTTGGTGTCTATCTAGATACTAGGCTAATGTTCACTGAGCATTTTGAAGTGGTAATTGGCAGGGCTAATAAAATGTTGAGGTTTATTAAGAGAGCTACTAGGGACTTTACAAGTATACACCCTATCAAAATTCTTTACACATCACTGGTCAGGTCCGTTCTTGAATTTTCATGCATAGTTTGGTCACCTTACTATCAGATCCACATCAATAGACTTGAGAGTGTTCAACACAAATTTATTAAGTTTGCAAGGTACAAACTTTCTTTGAGTGGTGTAATTCTCAGTGAGGACCTGACTATGACTTATTTAGACTTATCTACTCTTGTTCGCAGAAGGGAATATTTTGATGTCTGTTTTGCATTTAAAATTCTTAACTACTACATAAAAAGCCACGAATGTCTTGAATGTTTTAATCTACACATTCAAAGTTATCAGACACGAAGTAAATCTTTACTGCACATTCCTTACTGTCGAACCTGGTACCTACTATTCAGTCCTGTGAATAGAATATCTGCCAATGTAAATAAGTTCTGTGAGGGCCTTGAGTTCTTTGGTTTATCTCTGGATAAATTTAAGACGAAGGCCAGGAGAATTGTTTTAGGTTAGATTTTTTTTTTTTTTTATTTAGATTTAAACTCTGTTCAACTTCAAATGTATTTTTCTTATACGTAAATAAATGAATAAATTTTTGATCAGATTACAAAAATTCAATATGGCGGATTCAAAATGGACGATTTAATGACGAGTTTTTCTGATTACTTTCAATTGACTTCCACGTAGGTATCTGATTGATTTCAAAATTCACATGCTCTCCCACTAAAAAGGAGGGGGGGGCGTAGAAGAGGTAAGGCTTTAGTTCGATCTCGACCAAAATTAATTAATCCTTGCGTATAATGATCATAATAATAACGAACAGTTTTAGGGAACGATCACACAGTGTTTTTCTATTGTAAAATTCGGTGTTCATAAAATGCAAAGTAGTACTGTTGATTATGCTGCGATTTACTTGGGACCTAAGCTTTTTGCTCCTGGTCAAGCTTATGTCACCTTGAG